ATGCCATCGTTGGATGCAATTGCCATGCATGTTAACTTTTCATCTGGATGCTTGCCTCCTGTGCCTTCTTTGCAAAAGCATGAGACTTCTCCTGGATCAGGTAAAAGTCTTCTCATTTTTTTCTTTTACCAGCTGAGAGGTTTACGAACATCACTCTTAAATGGGTCATGTATCATTTTTCAGGTCAGAATGGAGATCTCAGGTCTCCAAAGAGACCATGCACAGACTTCCGAAGTGTGTTGGTAGAGCGAAATTCTTTTACATCACCAGTGAAGGACCGCCTATTGGGTAATCTTAAATCAAAGCTACCGCCACCTCCTTTGCAGTCTGCATTTGCCAGGTAAGATTTGGTAGTATTAGGGAATACAAAGTGTTATATTTAGTGTATCTGAACTTGGTTGCTGTATTTTCTATTTTCTAATCACGATTTCTGTGCTTTCTTGTTGTTACAGTCCAACCCGTCCAAACCCTGGAGGAGGAGGGGAAACATGTGCAGAAACTGGGATCAATGTAGTTTTCACCAAGGTAGTAGACACTTATTTAATTTGTAATTGTCATTGTTTGACCTACTAAAAAAGAGAGATTTGTTTTTAGGAAGTTTTAGGTTTAAATGCATAGAATTTCGAATGTGTGGGCTCTTCTTGCTGCCCATCAGTGTTATGAAGAACTGTGGAGGGAGGTGTCTTTAGAGCCACTATTCTAGGCTCTGTGAAGCAATATACTTGGCCAGTTATTTAACATGTCTTTATCCTTAGAACTGTCACACTTGCAATTTCCAATGTGTGGTTGATAGGGCCCATATTCAACAGAGAATGACTTAGAGAAAGATTGACACTGTTTGAGAAGAAGGGAATAGAGAGCTAGAGAGAAAGAAACGAGTTCAATCATTTCACTTTACTGAACACTAGTAACTGAATCAGAACATGTACTCTATTACATTGGTAATAACTCCCGCCAAAAGTAGCTAGTTCATTAAGAGTATGCTAACAAACAGTACATGCTACACTAATTTCACCATCTCCTCTTCCTTCCACGTGTCAATCAGATGTACCTCCAGTTGTTGCGAATTGTCATCTTGATCAATTTTGAATTTGACCTGCAACATTGGATGAATTTAAGGTTTATGACAAAGCTGGGATTAGCTGATCTTGTTGCTACTTATGGCAAAGCCAGATTTTAAGAGCTGAAAGTTGGCTCTGGTAAATGTAAGCTTGAGACAGGATTTTCAAGCTTAGTTCAAAGTGGCATTTTGGAGACTTGAACTCAGCTGGATCAGCTATTTCATATGTTGTAGAGGCATCTCATTCAAGCTCAAATTAGAGCAGCTCAACTTACTTTTTTTCTGTTGTGACACATTCACATATTTTAATTTGTTGATCAATGTATATCTAGTATAAAGTTTAAATGCTTTAGTGGATTTGCCAAAGCGATATCTGACTGTCAACCTTTAGCTTTCTCGCTAAGGGTATTGATGGCAGTTTATAGTTGGATTTTAAGGCCGTGGCTACTATTGTCCCTATGTTAATTGTCTGGGATTGTCAAGTTCCATTCTAGCGCCTTCAAGGTGTAATAATTAATTATATTTCTTGAAGTAGTTCTTGATGGCCAATTTGCTACTTGGCAATACTTTGGAATTTGATTACAATCAAATTATGTTGCTTTATTATCTCCTAGCTTGTCACACTTACATGTTGCATTTTTTTGTCTTGCCTAGATTAATAAGTTGGCTGCTGTCAGAATCAATGGTATGATTGAAAAGCTACAGCCGTCTCAGCAGCATATTAGAGAGAATGTCTATCGTCTTTTTCAACTAATACTTAGCCACCAGACATCTCTCTTCTTTAACCGCCATATCGACCAGATCATTCTCTGCTGTTTTTATGGAGTTGCAAAGGTTTGCTGTTAGTAACTCATGAAAGTTTGTTACCTGCTATTTAATTGTACACCATTTATTTCTACTTCTCTTACCCTGTCATGTTTTTGCCTGCAGATTTCTAAATTGAATCTGACCTTCAGGGAAATTATATACAATTATAGGAGGCAGCCACATTGTAAAACACTAGTTTTCCGCAGCGTGTTTGTTGATTGGTCGTCGGCACGCCACAATGGGGTATGTTGACTAATCTCCAGTCTCTTTGCATTAATGTTTTGTAGGGAGGTTTAATCCTTTGAATTGTCTGAAAACAGAGAACGGGGCAGGATCATGTGGATATCATTACGTTTTATAATGAAATTTTTATTCCGGCTGCGAAGCCTCGGCTGGTGGAGGTTGGTTCTGCTGGAACAACTATAAAAGCCAACCATGTTCCTGAAGTCATTAATAATAAAGATGGTACAGTTTTTTCTTATGAACTCTGTTTCTATACTTGGTGCTCTTTGCATTTGCAGTTCAAGCCATTGCTTAACATGCCTTTCTTTTGTCTCCTGCCCAACAAGGTCAATGTCCCGTATCGCCTAAAGTATCACCTTTTCCAAGTCTTCCTGACATGTCTCCCAAAAAAGTATCTTCAGCACACAATGTGTATGTCTCTCCATTGCGGTCATCCAAGGTACTTCTCAATTTTTCAATCTTTTCAATTCTAGTTCACTTTTTCTCCATTTCCTTACTAAAGGATAACCCAACCTTGCATATTAGACCAGCCTGTGAAGCCAAAAGGAATAAGCACGTGGGGAAACTTTGATTACTCCCTGTTAATTTTTCCACTGACTTTGAAGTTATGATATGCACTATGTGAACCCTGCTTTCTTGATACGTTGAGACAGACTGTAATATGAAACTTTGATAATTCCCTGTTCACTTTGCATCTATGTAATTTTTTTCCACATCTCTAGATGGATGCTTTAATCTCAAACAGCTCAAAAAGCTATTATGCTTGTGTTGGAGAGAGCACCCATGCTTACCAAAGCCCCTCAAAAGACCTAAATGCTATTAATAACCGCTTGAACAGGTATGCTTTCCTTGTCACAACAACCTTTAGAATAGGAGATTATTTCTTCTTTTCTCTAGCTTACCAATGCTTTTGTTTCTTGGTTCTAACTCACCGATGCTTTTGTCACATTTGTCTTCAGTAATCGGAAGGCGAGAGGGACTCTCAACTTAGATAGCGATGTTGGCTTGGTTAGTGATTCTATGGTGGCCAACAGCCTCTGCCTTCAAAATGGGAGTTGTGCGTCCACATCTCGTGCAACATTGAAATCTGAGCAGCCTGACTCCTGATGCAACCGTGGCCTGCTTTTATCTTGTATATTCTAGTTCTTCATCCATTTCTTCGTATATTTATTTATACTTAGAAATATATGACCTGAGCAATGTATGAGCAGTGAGTTGTATAATAGCTGCCATCACCCTCATGTCTTTTGTATGTTTGTTAGTGCTTTCAGATATTGAATAGGTTCTATCTAATCTAATAAAATTTACTACTTTCTCTACTCGTAGAACTTCTGGTTGATTTCGTTATGTTTAGAAAGATGTCTCATGCCTAGATGTGGCTTTTTTTTTTTAACTATACGGTTACTGTAACAGCGACATACTTTAATGTTAACTCATCTTATTTCACCTTTTTTTATATAGTTATTAAGAAGCATAAACGCCCCAAAATCCATATTAGTTATAAATTGAAGGCGCATTAGTGATAAATTAAAGGAAATGGATAAACCTTTCGACTTTCTGCACCAAAGTGTCCAAGAATGGAGACGTGGAACCAAAAGAAATTGGGACCAAGAAGTCTTACTGGCTTGGATCCTAGGCCATTAGAGTACCAACTCCGGATCAATTGCTACGTTTGCTCGTTTCTTCCTCGTCAGGGAAAAAATTTCTTAATGGCTGCTGCAATCTGCAAGGATTTTCAAACGAATAGTAATTAGACCAGGCTTTTCCATTGAAGAGTGAAGATGCAACGATCTTCCTCCTTTTCACCAGCTATATGGAGAAACTGAAGAAAACTAGGTCTTCTTTGACTTGACATGGCTAGACCATCCGAGAAAATGTTCAGAACTAGGAGAATCTCAAGTACTTGCTTGCAGTAAATGCTCAACAGAGGAATAATGATTTCCTTGAGAGGAATCATCCATAAATTATCAAAGCTGATATTGAAATTCCAACTTGACATTATTTTTGGTAAAGATTACATGAGAAAAATGATCCAAAGACGTACTTAATTTGGACATCGATCTAAAAGTTGTTAAATCTTGCGTACGTAGGTGCTGACTTTAACATATAGAAAAAGACACTAATGATGTATACGCTCCTCAAGTGTAGGGATTTGATTAATAATTGTTTTAGAAACAGGAATACTCTACGAAAAAATAATAAATACAAGGACCCGAACTCATTATAAACAACTTTAAAATCCTATCCAAATCTATCCTTTACAGATTTGGAAGCTGAGAGTTTTCTTTCAGCAAAAACTCTTTTACGCGGCTTGCTAATTTATTGCACTCGCTTTTCCTTCTATTATATATCACTTGCTCTCTAGATTAATCTACTTACAAAATTTCATGCAAGTATTCTTCTCTCTCTCCTTTTCTCTCTTCTTGAATTTCTTAACTACAATTTTTATGCTATAATTCCTTTGTTTAATCGATCACTTTTAGAAAGTAATTATGGATTCATGCGTGCATGCCACTATACAACATTCTACTGATCAGTAGCCATAGATTAGAAAACAACACCAATATACAGAACTTTGTTACGAGTTAGAAGAGTTACCTTTATTAGGGTAACAGATTAAGGCTTAGCAAGTAGGGTTTGATAAATTTTGAAGGGACATATGGAAAATAATTGTTTCGAATATATTTTTTTAAAAAATAAATCATATGTTGCCCTATTTTTGGGATGAGTAGATGATATGTTGTATATATGGAAGCTTTGGTAAATTTCCAACGCACAACATGAGTATTTGAAAAGAAATCTTGTATATGATCTTGACATGATTAAATATTGCTCTTTGCAGTACGTACTGGATAATATAAACATGAAGAGTTCACTGACTGCGTCTGCAATGGCGGCTGAGAATACAAAAGTTTTGAAAGACTTGGTGGAAGAAGAAGAAGAAGAAGAAGACGTGGGGCTTGCTTGCCCTCCTTTCGATGTGGAAGATTTCACAATGGCTGCCGAAGCTTGTTATTTTGACTTGTCTGAAGAAGTGTTTTTCCTTGGAATCGAGGAAGATCATAAAAGTAAGTCATACATGTCTAGTTAGCTACCTGTTGTGCTTGATCTGATCATATTTGATTATGGTTTTCGTTTTAATTAATTTGATTTGATTCCTTTTGATCAGGTGCAGAAAGAGTTCAAGGATCTTCGGGAAGCCTCAATGCAGTACAGATCAAGCAGAAAAAACATGGTAAAGGCAAGGATATGAAGGTTTTAGAGCAGTTCTATGGGCACAAGGACAATGCTTGGAAAGATACAAATACTAAAATAAAAGCTGAAAATATTGAGTCCAAGAAGACATTAACAAAATCTGCAATCGATGATGAAGTCTCATTTCAGCAGAAGATCAATTTAGCAAAAAGGAAACTTCACGAAAGATATGAGCACATTGCAAAAGGTCAGTGACTTCTAAATTTCTCTGATCTTTTTTTTATGTTTCCTTACAGGTTCCTTGCTTTTGTACTGCAAGATCTCCGTATATTATTCTCATGTTTTTGTCTTCGATCACAGAGAAAAAGAGGAAACAGATTAAAGTCCTTAGCACATCAGAATTGCCTGAAGTTCGTCGAGAGAAATGCAGACCCGAGACATATCGCCGCGGTTTGGCACCCACGTTCAGGTGTTTTTCTGGTTGCCATTAGTCTACTACAAGTTGCAAGAAGAAGCAAACAACAGTAAAGCCAGATTGAATCAGGAAATGGAAGGTTTTTTATCTTATTACCAGAAAGAAGAGAGACAACTGTTGAAACTTCGATGCTCCTCAATTCTGGGAAGTCATATCTCTGTTTGGTTGGTTGGTCCATAAAGAGTATTGGCAATGCTTGGAGTTTTTGATGTATCACATTAATCACAGCACAGCAGATATTTGGACAAGTAGTGGTACTGGATGTTCTTTGATGAACTGTGCCTTCTAAATTCATTGATCAAGAGCATTACATGCGGAATCAATCATAGGCGACTAAGGATCTGGAAAGATATTAGATGCTTGGGTGATCTAGGGGATTCATGGTAGAGATGGTTTGTAAATTATCTTTTCTGAAGCAGTGGAACTTAGCTCCGACAGCGTAGTGAAGTAGACCCATCACCTATATACCTGAAGGCCGAACCACGCAATTTTTCGTGCCTCGTTATTTTCTCTGTTCAGCCAAAACAGGACTAGTTAATTCATGTTATTCAACACTCGGATAGCAGAATCTGCTGCAATATAGAGCAAATTAGCTGAGATATGAAGCTGTAACGAGGCATTTCCCAATTTCCGTAACTAAAAACACTAAATCAAATGGGCAAAGAGACAAAATTTCTTTGTTCCAGAAACAAAAAATTGTTCATCTTACTGTCTCCTGTTTCCGTATATCTCATCAACAGAATTTATAGTAACATCGAACATTAAGCCAATTAAATACATCTAATCATTTAAGCTAAATAGGATATTTCCATTTTCTAGAAAAGTTGTACTTCCTTGATTGACTCTATTTACTATACTGCTTAGTTCCCTGATTGTATAGTTCACACACTTTCCCGTTCCAAGACCAGGAAGATCGTTGCCCCTCCTTAAGCAACAACGCGAACAATGTGTCTAAAAACCTCAGTCAAATGACGTTGTAAGAAATCCTGTTCGGATGGAGACTACAGACAGTAACTATCCATACACGATTTCTCATATATACATTAATACATATGAACATCATATCTGATAATCCCTAATTAAGGTCGTTTCTGGAATGCCGATATTGTTGAATGACCAAAACAGAACCAGTGATGTTAAGTTCTGAGGAAGTCAGAAGATCCCCAACTGTCCCCAGCTCCGGACACTCCTCCCAGTCACTCAAACCAGTTGTCAAAGCTGAGTGTCCTCTACCACCCTTCCCTACTATGAGCAATGAATAAGTATCATGTATGTCTCTTAAAGCCTCTACGGTTTGCATCCCATTTTGCACATGCTTCCCCACATATCCAACTTGACCTGACGTCACATATCTGAAAAGAAAAGGCAAAATGCAGTTCTTCTAAGTAACAAGAGCTAACAGAGGCAATGGAAGTACTCTTTCAGAAGAAGAAGAAAAAAAAAACCTGTTTAGAGTAAAAAGAAATAAAGTTATCAAACATATACGAATTTACCCGTTATAGAAATCCTGCACAAAAGCCTTGTCAATCTCTGCCTCAATCTCGTGATTTGACATTTCCATCACTATCTCATCATTCCGGCGGAGGGTGCCATTACTGTACTCTATCTGTTCGCTTGATGGTGAATGTTGGAAGTGGATGAGTGTCAAATGAATGTGAGGATGGGCTGCAATCCTTTTGCTACACCCTAACGCCTCGCGATCGTCAGGACCTCCAAAAAACAATGTAGCTATATTTTGCACAGATTGGGGGCTAGGTTGTTGAAACCCTGTCTGCCCTCGATCCACAAAGATCCCTACTGAGCACGGCGCATGTCGCAGAACCTTATGGTTGGTGGTTCTCATTCCGTCCTTTCCACTCTCCATTTTCCCATCAAGGCGCTGGTGCTTGTGAAAAGTGAGAAATATGATCGAAATACGCAAGTCCTCGATGTAATCACACACATCCTCATGCAATTTCTCAAAGGAAGACACAACTTTCTTTTGGTGGATCAGAACTTTGGTCTCCATGGTATATGCATCCACGGCATCATTGATCTCCACAACGTCATCTCCGCCATAGTCCTCCTTGTCACTATATTGATCACCATCTTGTAGCTGGTGGTACATCAAGTTCTTCTTGGTGCGTTTCTTTGGGAGCTCAACTAGGTGCATCAAGTAAGCTGTGACGGGTGTTTTTAGGGATTCGCTAAAAGCAGAGATTAACGCAATTTTCGATGATATATGCCGAGATCCATAGACACAAACCAGCATTCGAAGTTCCCTCTCCGGTTCACCTAATTCAAGGGAGGTATGTCTGTGAGAGAAATACTCTTCTTTTTGCCTTAATATATAAGCCACTACCACTCCTGCTATCACCGTATTAATCACCACTACAGTCACCACCAGATTGTGAACATTTTCCTCCCACGGAACCAACTATAGAAAAAGCACAACATAACATTATTTGAAGAAACCAGAGAACGATTTTTCTTGAGGTTAGTATCCGTATCAATGCATGCTACCTACCATATATTGTATGCAAATAATTACACAACGGTACTAATAATTCTTCAGAAAACTTACAGTTTCCTTTGACAGCTTTCTCAGGATCTGAAGCTCGGCATTTCCCTTCAAATCTAGTAAAAAGCCAAGTACAATGCCCTCGTCTGTTGGGATCTTGAGGTAATGGCAAGCAACTAGTGTGCCAATAATTTTACTTGCAATGGACATTAAAATCATGACGATAACCGTGACGAAAGGTATTAAACTACCCATGTAAGAAACATCAAGCTGAAAACCTATGTAGCCAAAGTAAACTGGAAGTATGAAGTTGTACGTAGCATAACTTAGTTTATGCAACAATGTCCGGGTAGTTTTTCCTTCCCTGGGGAACATTAAGCCGAATAAAAAGCAAGATATTATACTGTTGTAGCAAAATTTTTCAATAACAAGAGCGGCAGTTACTAAAAGGGACAAGAAGAGTAAGAACTCTGCGTTTGTCACATATTTTTGGTTCCGGATCCTCTGGTTGCACCAGAAAGCCAAATACTTGTTTACGACTATAAGTGCCACGGTAATTACAAGGAATAGAATCCCAAAACCGATTTTCAAATAGTATGTATGAACTATAGGCCTCCATAGAACGCAAGACATTTCAGCGATTAATGAAGCACAGACTGCCAATCTTCCTGTATCTGAAGTTAGAAACTTCAGTTCAGCCGCCAACTGAAAAACCACCGGAGAGGCGGAGTTTGCTAAGAGTGTTATGATGATGGTGGAAAAATTTAAACGTTTGGCTTTTATTTTGAATAAAATGACGAGGGAAATGAATGCAGCAACACCAAACAAGGCACCTATTGTCACCCCACCAAATGCAATAATGCTAGCTTTTCGCAAGTTACGTCTCATGTAAGGAATATCCATCTGCAGACCTATCAAGAACATAAAAATTGTGCGGAAAATGGATTGAAAAACTTCATAATAATCTCCAGTAGACGGCTGAATAAAGAATTCATTAACTTTGTCGATGCGGGACAACAACGACGGACCTAGCACAATTCCGGCCTGACAGAACAAGTAAATATCAATGCATAAAAGTGTATTAAGCTGGCATAAATATTACTGAAGATGGACATTAATTTATGGAAACATAAAGATTGATTACCAATATTTGTGCTACTGGCCCTGGTTGTCCGAATTGTTTCAAGAAAAGGTGGAAGCAATGAGAGATGACAAGAATGCCAGCAGCCTGCGTGGAGATTGTAATAAGCGGATTAAATGGATCATCTCCGCACAGAGCTCGTCTTGCTGCTTCCATAATTTAACATCTCAAAGGAACAATATAGAATCTTGTTACTATTTGTTGATCGGAAGTAATTAATTAGGGGGTTGAAAAAAACAAAGTGATTGTGAGAAGCAACAAATTGCTCATTGCTCATCATGTTTTTTACTTTTTTTGCATTGATGTAATAGATTCACTGAACATGTGAATAGTTTTGTGGCAGGAAACAATGGAAGGTGGCTTGAAGGCATAAAAAATAGGGAGGGAAGGGAAGGCGGATGATAACCTTGGCTTGAAACTCTCTGTAGACCATGTCTGAAACTGGAAGGCTGAGTTTTATTTTCCTTCTTTCCACATGTCAAAACAATAATGGTCATGACATTTGGAAATACTGACCAAGAGGGAAACAGCTTGTTCGTAACAGTTTATTAGTTGTGAACCGGCTAAATACTGATTTTCCTTTGATGCTATTTTTAGTGCCAAGATCGTTAACTTCTTAAAACAATTAGCTTAAGATCTTTCATAGATTTAAATTATGTAATTATACTTACTGTTACATTTCCTTACGAATAACACCACTTTTATTTCAATAACATCTATAATCTATTGGTGAGAAGTTTAAATGCCAAGATTTATGTCCTATGCCAGTTATTTCCTGTGAAATGAAATTATTTTGATCAATTATCCTTTGTTTTCTTTTGGAGGAAAATCATCTGAAAAGTTATGATCCAAAGATATATCTCAGATTTAGAAACCTTATAGGTTGAGACAGAATTGTTTATTTCCTATCTTATAGGCAAAAGAAATAGCAACGTACTATAAAAGACAAGCAAATTAAGTTCCAATATATATCTTAGGACGAAAAAGAGTCCCTGAGATGAAGATATCTGAAGTTTAGAACCCATTGAACCAGCTAAAATTGAAAATATAATCATATAAAGCTGAAAGAGAACTGTACAAATTTAAGAAATTTCGTTTATTTATGCTATCCTCCTCTTTCCAGATTACTAGTTTGCTGATAACACGATGTTTCAGAGGAAACAAAGTAAGTTAATGCAGTAGACTTGATCTGTATTTGAGTAAACAGACTTCGATCTCATCTGATGGGATGATAACTGCAACATTCAGCTTAGTTAGATGCTAACTTCTGGTGTCCTTTTTTATCTTCCTGACAGTAAGTTCACTTGTGTTTTCGCACCGAAACAAATAGGAAGGAGTTGGATAGAAAAATTTATGAGAGCCCGAATCAGGAAATTGAGGGAAAGAGAATTAAGGCAGATATTTGTTGGCTTTGAATTGGACAGATGGTGAAAGGAGGGGCAGATGAACCAGCGGAAACAGTATAAGGCTCCTCTTCTCCACTGCCATTGCCACTTCCACAAAGGCAGCTCCTCCGACAACTCTGAGAAACCTGAAATCTCGTTGCAATTTCCACTGTTTCTATTCGGCATCTTTCCGATGGAGTTGGAAAAAACTTGACCATCAATGTCACTGTTGACTATGTTTTTCGCCTTCTCCCATTCCTGAGAGCACGAGACTCTAAAGTTTAAGATCTTCAAAGGATCAGAAGGATCCAGGTAACTTTGATCATCTTAACTTGCTCCAACAGCATTATCAAAAACCGATCATAGCCCCTCCTCCCCACACCGGCCTTCAACTTGGACATTTTAAAGAGCCAGACTTTTGCCTTTTATTTTCCTTTTATTTATTTATTTATTTTTTAAAAGAACTCTTTTGGAATGGGAAAACGTTGCTTATGCTGAAAGCAGAAGTTGCTGCAAAGATTATCTGATCAGTCAGTCAACGATGTGAGGTTAAGGATCTTCTGATTTATAGAGATTGAAAGAGTGTAATGTTGAAGCTTACATGTATAAACACCACTATTATAACTTCAGTTGGTTGATGATAGAGGTTCCCCAGGTTTTCGGTAGCAAGACATCATCATTGGAGAAATCCCAACCTCCTTCTCTGAAGTTCCTTCTTCCTTTGGCATTTTTCCAGAAAGCTAGGACAATTATTTTCAGTTTATGTACAGAGACAACGCCACACGTTCGTTAGGGAAGTGATTGTAAGCCGAAATTTCTAGCATTAACTGTCTTGGAACAGGCCCTTTACCTGTTCCAAGACCACGAAGATCGTTACCTACTTACCTCTCTTTAAGCAATGAACTGAACAATGTGTCTAAAAAGCTCAGTCAAATGACATTGTAAGAAATCCTGTTCGAATGGAAACCAGCCTGACGATCCATATACGATTTCACATATATACGTTAATATATGTGCCCATCAGATCTCTGATAATCCTTAATTAAGGTCATTTCTTGAATGCCGATATTGTTGAATGACCAAAACCGAACCGCTGCTGTTAAGTTCTGAAGAAGCCAGAAGATCCCCAACTGTCCCCAGCTCCGGACACTCCTCCCAGTCACTCACACCGGTTGTCATAGGTGAGTGCCCTCTACCACCTTTCCCTACTATGAGCAATGAATAAGTACCTTGTAGGTCTCTTAGAGCCTCCGCTGTTTGCGTCCCATCCTCCACATACTTCTCCACATATCCAGCTTGACCTGACGTTACATATCTGATAGAAAAAGAAAAATGCAGTTCTTATAGGTAACAAGAGCCAACAGAGGCAATGGAATTACTCTTTCAGAAGCAAAAAGAAATAAAGATATCAAGCATATACATAATTTGCTTGCGGATACCTGTTATAGAAATCCTGCACAAAAGCCTTGTCAATCTCTGCCTCAATCTCGTGATTTGTCATTTCCATCAGCATCTCATCATTCCTGTGGATTGTGCCATTAGTGCACTCTATCTGTTCGCTTGATGGTGAATGTTGGAAGTGGATGAGTGTCAAATGAATGTGAGGATGGGCTGCAATCATTTTGCTACACGCCAATGCCTCGCGATCGTCAGGGCCTCCGAAAAACAATGTAGCTATATTTTGCACAGATTGGGAGCTAGGTTGTTGAAATCCTGTCTGCCCTCGATCCACAAAGATCCCTACGGAGCACGGGGCATGTCGCAGAACCTTATGGTTAGTGATTCTCATTCCCTCCTTTCCACTCTCCATTTTCCCATCAAGGCGCTGGTGCTTGTGAAAAGTGAGAAATATGATCGAAACACGCAAGTCCTCGATGTAATCACACACATCCTCATACAATTTCTCGAAGGAAGACACAACTTTCTTTTGGTGGATCAGAACTTTGGTCTCCATGGTATATGCATCTACGGCATCATTGATCTCCACAACGTCATCTCCGCCATAGTCCTCCTCGTCACTGTATTGATCACCATCCTGTAGCTGGTGGTACATCAAATTCTTCTTGGTACGTTTCTTTGGGAGCTCAACTAGGTGCATCAGGTAAGCTGTGACGGGTGTTTTTAGGGATTCACTAAAAGCAGAGATTAACCCAATTTTCGATGATATATGCCGAGATCCGTAGACACAAACCAGCACTCGAAGCTCACTCTCCGGTTCACTTAATTCAAGGGAGATATGTCTGTGAGAGAAATACTCTTCTTTTTTCTTTAATATTAGAGCCACTACCACTCCTGTTATCACTGTATTAATCACCACCACAGTAACTATCAGATTGTGAACATCTTCTTCTTCCTTCCATGGTTTCAACTATAGAAAAAGCACAGCACAACATTATTTTAAAAAAAAGAGCAGAGAGCGATTTTTATTGTGGTTAGTATTCATATCAATTCATTCTACCATATATACATATATATGAAAAAAAAATGCACAGGGGTACTAATATTTCTTCAGAAAACTTACGATTTCTTCTGGCAGCTTTCCCAACATCTGAAATTCCATATTTCCCTTCAAATCGAGTAAAAAGCCAAGTACAATGCCCTCGTCTGTTGGGATCTTGAGGTAATGGCAAGCAACTAGCGTGCCAATAATTTTACTTGCTATGGACATTAAAATCATGACGATAACCGTGATGGAAGGTACTAAACTACCCATATAAGAAACATCAAGCTGAAAACCTATGTAGCCAAAGTAAACTGGAAGTATGAAGTTGTACGTAGCATAACTTAGTTTATGCAGCAATGTCCGAGTAGTTTTGCCTTCCCTAGGGAACATCAAGCCAAACATAAAGCAAGATATTGTGCTGTTGAAGCCATATTCTTCAATAACAAGTCCGGCTGTAATTAAAAGGGACAAGAAGACTAAGAACTCTGCGTTTGTCACATATTTTTGGTTCCGAATCCTCTGGTTACACCAGAAAGCCAAATAGTTGTTTACAACTATAAGCGCCACGGTCATTAAAAGGAAAAGAATCGCCATTCCAAAGTTTTCCCACGTATGTTCTGTGAGAGTAATTAAACTCCATAGAACGCAAGACATTTCAGTGATCAAAGAAGCACAGACAGCCAATTTTCCTGTATCTGAAGTCAGAAACTTCAGTTCAGATGCCAACCGAAAAAGTACAGGAGAGGCCGAGTTCGCTAAGACTATTATAACGAGACTGAAAAACTCAAAAAAATTTTGTTTTATTTTTGATAAAATGATGAGGGCAATGGATGCAACAATACCAAATAAGACACACAGAGTCACTCCACCAGATGCAATAATGCTCGCTATGCGCAAGTTACGCCTCATGTAAGGAATATCCATCTCTAGACCTATCAAGAACATAAAAATTGTGCGGAAAATGGATTGAAAAACTTCATAATAATCTGCAGTAGACGACTGAATGAAGAATTTGCGAACGTTTTTATCGCGGGACAACAAGGAGGGACCTAACACAACTCCAGCCTGATAGAATAAGAATATATCACCACATCAAAATTTGTTCAAGTTGGCATAAACATTATAAAGCATCAACATTTATGAATGTATTTGAAAAGTTTTAAGGTTGATTACCAAGATTTGTGCAACAGGTCCAGGTTGTCCGAATTGTTTCAAGAAAAGATGGAAGCCATGAGAGATGACAAGAATGCCTGCAGCCTGAGTGAAGGTTGTGATAAGTGGGTTAAATGGATCATCTCCACACAGAGCTCGTCTTGCTGCTTCCATTGTTTAACATCTCAATTGAACAAGATCGAATCTAGTTAGATTTTGTTGGTTGGGAGTAATTAATTGAAAAAAAGTGACTTGTGCGTATATAGTTTCGTTGTGTTTTGTGTTTTGTTTTGTTTTTGTTTTTTTTTAATAGCTTTTGGCATTCATGTAATTAATAGCTTCACTGAAAATGTGAATTGTTTTGTGGCAGGGAACTATGGAAGGTGGCTTAAAGGCATTAAAAATAGGGAGAGGGAAGGATGATGATTGCTTGGCTTGAAAATGTCTTTGTAGACCATGTCTGAAGCTTGGAAGCTGAGTATTGTTTTCCTTATTTCCACGTGATAAAATAATAGAGGTCATGCCACTTGTAATTACTGACCAAGAGGAAAATATACTAGGAGGGAAGCTTTCCAAGCTTTAACTGCCTCAGTCTACAGTCTATAACAGTTTATCAATTGTGCATTGGCTAATTACTCTAATTTGATTTGGTCCTATTTTTAATCCCAACTTCATTAGCTTCTTAGAACATGCTTAATGTCGCTACCCGACATTTAGAGGATTTCCAAAATTTTAGATGGAAAAGGAAAGAAAAAATTAAGAAAAAAGTAAGGAGTCTTCACCTAGTATTAAAAGTAACTAAAAACCTAAAAGAACACTAGATTATAGATTTTTGAATAAGAAATTGGTTATGTTTTTGAGAACATAATAATCACACAAAAACATCTTTTTCGAAAAAATTATCATGTTTAGTTTAATCCTAAAAATTATATCCGGCAAATTATTTCTTAAGCCTATTTCCAATCTTAACTATCTTTTAGATCAAATTAATTTTTATTTTTTTATTTATAGCATCGTATTAAATTGACATCAAGTCCCAAGGTTAGAAGTCACATTAATTTAGTATCGGATCCAATTATGTACTGACATGATCCGCATGTTAAGGAATGACCTAATGAGCTAAAAGTGTTTAAATTAATTTGTGTTTATCCTAGTTAATTTGCTTCCTTTTATTAATTTTTATTATGGGTTGAGACTAAACATAAGTCTTTTTTTTAAAAAAAAAAAAAAAAAAAGAAAAAAAAAGAAACAAAAGACTTATTAACTCAACTTAAGTTTTCTCATTGCCCAAAAAACAAGTGTTCCTTTCTTTTTTTCTTTAATTTCAAACTAAGTTTGATATGAAATTGTCATCAATCTCTAAAACATAAGAGAATGGACAATCTCACATCTTTAAAAGTTCTAAATAATCAATTAGTAAGCTAGATCAGGAGAAAGGCATAACAAAAAATAAAGAAGTAAACACCAACACAAAATTTAAATTCCATGAAAATTGATGGACAACTTATCAGTATATACCTATACATTCCCTAAAAAATTCATATTTAGATGTATTTAAATATTGGACCAAACAATTAAATTTTTAACACAAAATATCTAATAATAAAATAGTGATAAAATAATAAATAAATTTCAAAAATAATGATAAATTAATTCAAAAAATTACAAGATTTAAATTATGAGCTAAATATAGATATGCAAACTAACAATAAAAATTTCAGATTAAAATAAAATGAGATAAGGGACCTACTAATTAATTTTTGAAACACAAACACATTAATAATTAAAATAATTGGTAGAATAATAAATAAACAGTAAAAAAAATAATAAATGGACTCTAAAAATTATAAAATTTAAGAGACATATTAAGGAAAAACACATGAATCAAACCTAAAAATTTTAGATTTAAATAAAATTAAACAGTAAATGTAATAATTAATTTTTTAAACAATTCACATTAGCAATTAACATAGGGACAGTATAATGAATAAATTGCAAAAATAATAGCCAATGAACTCCAATAATTATAAAATTTAAAAAATAAGTTAATAACCAACACCTGAACACACCCTAAGAATTTCAGATTTTAATAAAATTAAAAAGTAAACCTAATGATTAAAATTTTAAGTAATTCGCATTAATTCTTAACATAATGGCATAATAAATAAATTATAAAAATAATGGCAAATGAATTCCAATAATTATAAAATTAGAAAAACAAGTTAAACACCGGTACATGAACACACCCTAAAAATTTCAATTTAAATAAAATTAAACAGTAAAACTAATTAAATTTTAAACAATTCTTATTAATTATCAGCATAAGAGCAGAATAAATAAATAAATAAGTAAAAATAATAACAAATGAACTCCAATACTTATAAAATTTAAACCCCAAGTGAAACACTAGCACATGAACACATCCTAAAAATTTCAGATTTAAATAAAATTAAAATTTAAACCTAATAATTGATTTCTTAAACAATTCAGATTAATTATTAACATAAGGGCGGAATAAATAAATAAATTATAAAAATAAAATAAAATGAACTCCAATAATTATAGAATTTAAAAAACTGGTTAAAAACTAGCACATTAACACATCCTAAAAATTTCAGATTTAAATAAAATTAAAAATCTAATAATTAATTTCTAAAACAATTCACGTTATGTATTAGTATAAGGGTAGAATAAATAAATAATATAAAAATAATAAATGAACTCCAATACTTATAAAATTTAAAACACACCCACACATATATAAACTCGAAAAATTTTCTGATCTAAATAAAATTAAAAAGTAAACCTAATAATTAATTTCTTAAACAATTCACATTATTAATTATTAACACATAAGGGAAGAATAAATAAATAAATTGTAAAAATAATAGTAAATGAACTCCAATAATTATGAAATTTAAAACACAAGTTAAAAACTGGCACATAAATATACCCTAAAATGTTCATATTTAAATAAAATTAAACAGTACACCTAATGATTAAATTTATAAAAAATTCACTTTAATTATAATTATATATTAGCATAAGGGCAGAATAAATAAATAAATTATAAACATAATAGCAAATGAACTCCAATAATTATGAAATCTAACAAGCAAGTTAAAAACTGGCACATAAACAAACCCTAAAATTTTCAAATTTAAATAAAATTAAACCATAGACCTAATAATTAAATTTATAAACAATTCACATTAATTATTAGCATAAGGGCAGAATAAATAAATAAATTATAAAAAAATAGAAAATGAACTCCAATAATTATGAAATTTAGAAAAAAAGTTAAAAACTGGCACATAAACACATTCTAAAATTTCAGATTTAAATAAAATTAAACAGTAAATCAAATTATTAATTTTTTAAAGCAATTTACATTACTAATTAAAATAAAGGCGGAATAACTAAATAAATTGCAAAAATAATAACAAAATAACTCCTAAAATTACAAAATCTTAAAAACAAGTTAAATGCAAGCATATATATATATATATGCCCTAATTTTTTCAGATTTTAATAATTAAAACAGACTTGTAAGAATAAATAAAAACAAAACTAATCCTAGAATTAAAACCCTATTAATTTTACCCCCAAATTCCTATCCCTTAGGGATCCAATTGCGAAATATCTTAATTTTTAATGACTAAAATAAAGAGACCAAATAACTGTCAGGACATATATTTGAAAAAGTTTACCCTCTCCTCCCATTTACACAAACAGAAGCAGTAGCTTCATCAATGGCCGAACATGCACCCAAAAAAAAAATTTCCTCCCGCTATTTTTGATTTGTTTGGATTTTATCCCCTAGAAACTCATCCCACTCCCTCATATAATTGTAAAATTTAACATATGATTATTTGCACACCATTGTTTTCAACACAGAGAGTTTTTCAGAGAGAGGAAAATAAAACATGGCAGAATCACCTTTTGTAGCTTTTCTCAGTGAAATAGGAGGATGGATATTAAAGGATCGCCCCCACTTCCCTTCTCACAGTGAAGAAGATAACAACGGCAGTGGTTGAGAGAGCTAAAAGCTGTTTTTTTGTCCTCTTCTTGCTCAAAAACCTACTGCTTTCAAACCCCTCTCACCAGGAAAGCCAACCTCTCCATCTGTATTGCTTATCCTGTCATTTACTACCCTATTATCGGTCTCCTTTCATCCTGGCCCTTCTTTTTCTCTGTCCCAACCCGCTCCTCTTTTTGTCTTGGCCATGCATGGTTGCTGTCAACTGCTTCCATGGTGCAGTTGCAGTCGACCACTCAGCAGAAATCAAGAGATGCATGGCTAGGTTTTGGCGTGCGGGAGAGGAAGGAAGAAGGCAAGGGACAAAAATGCCAGCCCCTTGCCGTTTGTTTTCTCTTTTCTTTACATTTTCATGTCTCTGCAGGTTTTGCTTTATTGCGGACCAGAAGAACAGTGCAGCTGGCGGGGGAAGAAAGGGGAAGGAAGGGGACGTGTCGCTCCGAAGAAAGTTTAAGTTCATCCCTGTCATTCTCTTTCCTTTCCAACTTTGTCCGTACAAGATGGAACGCCTCTTCAATTGCACCCCTCCATTTAAATTCTTTTGGTCCTTGTATTTTTAATTTTTTCCGATTATATCCTAATTCATTCTCAATTATGGCCTTTGATTTTTTATTCTCTTCCATTTATATCCTTAATTGGATGCTATTTGGTCCTCACCTTTCACCCTTTTTTAAATCATTTTTTCAAATTATTTTCTTTCACTTTTGGTATTTATGCTAAAAATAATAAATGAGAAATTAAGCTAAAATTTAAAAATCAAATGAAACCTATTCTATGTTGTAGTAGTAGTAGTGGTAGTAAAAGTAAATATTTATGGGAAACCTACCCATAAAAATAAAAAGAAAATTCGTGAATATTTATGGGAAATTTACCTTATATACATATATACTTGGAGGGGCAAATTTGGGGTTATGACACTTAAGATGGTTCATCGGTTTTGTCAATTATGTACTTATGATACTGATACCATTGAAATTTTCACTCCAAAGTCAAATAAATTGAAAGTTATCAACCAAGGTTATGGAAATCTAGGATATATAACAATTTACTCATCGAAGATGGATTTTGTAGAATGCAGTGAGGAAAAAGAATTGTACAACGATTTGCAATATGATGGAAAAGAAATGAGCACCTTTCCTCATTTCGTTCCATTTCCATTTCATTATGTTTTTTCAGAGTTGTACGCTTGATTGCTAGAATGATAGTACATATTCAACATCACTATCTTGACCATCAAAACCCCAAAGAAGGCCCAAAGAAATTCATGAAAACAAGGCCAAAAAAAAAAAAAAAAACAGAGAAAGAAGAGAAATTTGGGTAAGCAACTCTTGCGGTCCCACTAGAAATGCATAGGCAACCGAATTGTCCCTATCTCACAGGTTATTTATCATAACAATAACTTAGCACGTCCATGCATGTAAAAAGCATCATCCTAACTACGATCCAACATTCCCAATTTGTTCTCCAGTCAACAATAAAGTCAGCTTTACAGGTTGTAGTGCTCCTACCACTTTGATGTTTCCCAAACCCTCCACCAATTGAGCCAACTATTTATATTTTGTTCACTAGGAGACAACCCGCTACCTCTCTTTCCATATTTCTTTTTGATTTTTTTGTCATTTTTTTTTTTTTACATAGTACATCCTAATAGACTATAGGATGCAGAGAGGAACCCTAAACAGGTTTTTCATAATCTTAGTCAGGGAGATGCCCATTCGAAGTAACGACAGCAGGCACCCCTAGTGGCAGTCCAGTTGCCACAGCCAAAGAACAAGCTGCCTTGCTTCGGTCCAGGCTTTCGAACCATTCCTTTGCTGCTCTTCACCCCACAGAAACAGAAGGGATGATATGGGAAAACAGGAATATGAATTTCCTTCAGCTTATGGGGTTGGTGTGGTGAAAATGACAGATTCTCAGGGGGCTGCTTAGATGACAATGAACTGTCAGTTGTGTGCCACATCAGTGAGTTGGTGATGGAGAATCTGATGCCCCGGTGCATAAGTAGGGCAAGCAGCCGAGCAGTATTTTTGGCATCGTCCAGACCACAGTGAGCACGGCCCTGCCATTCTAGGCCTGTCATCTCAACAGCCTCCTTCAGACATCTCGCACCACCAAATATTTCACAGAAAGGAACTTTTAAGTTGATCCATCTGACAAAATTATTAAGGAAAAAGAATATTAAATATCATGTTAAGAGGTACTTTTGACATCTCTGCCAAAAAATAAAATGCAACAGAGTTCCAATTTATTCACAATGCAAAATAGTTTGTGGTGAAGATCAAACATATTCATAATGGACACGTTCAATTCAAAAGGTTTTTATCTGATCATTTACCGGTTAAAATACGGAGGCTTCCTAATCTTCTTGAATCGGCACTCTGATTCCAACATCACCCGACAATCCCAGTTCGACCATGTTACCACAGCAAAATTGGTGTTTTTAATCCCTTTATTCTCAAGCCATTTATCATGCCTGAGGAGAGCCTCACTAAGAGTGACACCTCTGTCCACCTGGAACCAGACAGAAATACAAGAATAAGATAAGAGGCTATACGATGCTCATCAAAAAGTTAAGAAAAAGAGATGAACATACATAAAATTCTAAGAAACTAGTTGAAGTAGGCAACACTTAAAAAGTATTGCCAGCTCGCAGGAAAATCAATGAATGATTCACATCACAAACCTAAGAGAAAAGGGACTCTTTTAAGCATCAACACTTTCCACTAACTTCTACCAATCCACAAGTTCCCTTCATAGCTTGTGTGTTTCATTGCTCTTTTCAAGCATTCAATATCCATTTGAGACGACAAGGAAGAATTCTATTAGCCTAAAAGTACTAATGATTATCATCGCATTGTCATAGAACCTTTTTGACAACATTCCCAATTGGGACAATTGTATCAGTCCACATCCACCTTTTATTCTATGCCAAGCCCAGTGAAACCAACCATTGACAATGTTACAACCACTGATTGCTTTGTATTGGACATGGAATCAATACCCCACTACTAAATAAGTAGACCAAATGGAAGTTATAAGCGAGAAATTGTATATTACTCCAAAAGTGACTACCAATAATTACTCCATGAGGAGCGCAATAGACGCAAGGAAGAGAGAGAGTGAAAAAAATTATTTCCATGCCTATGTCGAAATTATAAAATCATCTTTGGGGAGTCCCAAGGCAATTTTCTCTATCTTCCTTGTCTCTATCTCTCTCTTCATAGAGTAAGTATTGGTAATTACTACAGGAATAAAATAAAATTTCTCATTAGTATCTCTCAAAGGAAAAGTCAGTCTGCAAACCTAATACGATGTAAATTGAACACCCTTATAAACATCCAAGAAACACATATATTAGTACGCTTTTCTAAAAGGTAAAGGAATTCCAAACTAACCTGGATTTGCTGGATGCCAGTAAGATCCTTGCAAAAATCACTCAGAAGCTGATTGCATGTTGGCCGCACATATGTCTGAAAACAAGCTTCAAGCTGACCAGTTACACTGCTCACAATGACAGATGGAAACTCAATTATCTCTTGTGGATGAGGATTTCTTTCCTTGTCACAAGTAGCCTCAAAGTCTATGACCACAAAATATTGAAAATCTTGGAACTGGGTCTCACATGGATAACCTTGAGAAAACATATTAAAAGGAGCATAGTGAAATCGAGTCTCCAGAGCAAAGGGATAAAATTGGCTTTCAAAACAATTCATTTGGCTCTGCTGCATCTTTTGAGAGTCTGGATAAAAGGTCGACCATGAGCCAAAATCATGATGGTAGGCAGGTTTGTTGGGAAATTCACTTGGAAGTTCAAGAAACTCGCTTCTAAGTGAGTGAACTGGTTCAACAACATCCCCGCCTGGGTGAGCACCAATTTCTTCTTTAAACTCAGGAAACCCTTCAAAGGAATTCCCATAAGGGAATCCCTTGATTTGGAGGCATTTTAAGGAGGCCTCACAACTCCTTTGCATTGTTTCTGGTAAGAAGAAATGAAAAACAGCAAACACTTAAGAAAATTTAATTTTAATAATCTGAAATCATCAACCATAATTTAACCGTCCTGATAAACAGTAAAACAAACAAGATATACCAAGTGTGTAAATCCTGGGAAAGCCTCCAAATAATAATGTATGGAGAAAGAAAGGGTGGCACAGCATATGTAAAAGAAGCCCCAAAGAGGGAAAAACATGAAAACAAAAACAACAAAAAAAATGCTGCTACATGGACAGACAACTGCATATGCACAGAACATACTGAAGGGTGTGAAATAAGAAAAAAGTAAAACATAGCAACAATTGGTTGGATAACTGCACCATAATATCTAGTGACATTAACATTTACTGCTTCCTTTTCCCTTTTTTTCTGGGCTAACCAAAATCTTTACTAGAGGACACCCAGGGAATGGAATCCAACCACAAAACTAAGAATTCCCGTTATAAGAAATTAATCTACCAAATCTATGGTGAAAAAGGCATATTCAATAGATGAATTTTTAAACCAAAAGTGCAGAGTTAAATCCAACCATCTAAAATAGATCAGAAGCAACTCTTCCCCTCAAAAGCCCTCCTTGTACATCCCCTCTACACTAGCCCAGAAAAAAAAAAAAAGACTTCAAAGAATTTTTCCTCTTATCAGTACACAATTGTATAGCCCTTCATGTGAACACCTCACAATTATCAGCATTCCAAGTAAAAGTTACATCCCATAACACCCTTCCTGAAGCAAAAATCCATATAAAAGGTAACCAAAGCCTCCTTATCCCAGGCCAACAAAAAAGAGATCCAGAAATTGCTCCTTCAAGTAGTATGGCATCAATTAGCTCATAGTTCAAACCACAACAATGCATCTAGATACTAAAGCACTATCATATGAACTCAAAACAACTAGGTCTTTCCCTTCTACCAAAAATGAATCAGATACAAAGTGCAGACTATAGAGGCGCCATAGGTAGTCATAGATTTTGATAAAATTCTGGAGAAAGAAGCTTTTTCTTAGGTAGATGATAAAGACTGAGATGGAGAGGCAAATTGTTAGAGCATTCATCCTTACTTTCTTAGAAAGAACATTGTCACGAAAGGAATGACCTCTGTTTAGGATGGACCTAATGAATTAAAATTTGTTGGACCTTTCCAACCAGTTTCACATCACTGTCTTGTTTTGATGAATTCAATACTGTTTGAAATGGGGGATTACTCCATTTTGGTTTGAAAATATGTGGATTTCTAACCTACTTTCAGGGATAAGGTCTGAACATGGAGAAGTGGGCTTCCAACAGACAGATGGACATGTTCAGGCTTGTAGTCTGAAGTGGTCTTTTATCTCTCAGGAAATGAATCACTGGTTACAAAGGAAGAGGAGAAAGTGAAACAAACTGTGGTGAAGACAGCAAAAGAGAAGATCCCTGTTTGGCTGGTTTTACCAATTACTGGAATATTGTCAAGCATGAACAAATTAAGGTTTTTAATGGATTCTATTTGAACAAGGTTGCATGAAGGAGAACAAATCCATGCTTATTACACTAATTCCCAAAAGATATGATTTTGTTAACAGCTTGGGCTTATTAGTTTACTAATGAGCTTGTACAAAATCTTGACTTAGGTGCCAATCAAATTGGCAAGGTATTCGCATTCTAAACATGCTTCAGTAGTTGGATACTAAATTGGACGCACTTTGGTAGCTTATTGAGTGGGTGGATGACATTAGAATGACAAGTAAAAGGGGATAGTTGTAGAATTGGGGTTTGAGAAGGCCGTGATCAGTTATATTGATACTTTCTTGATGATTCTTAGAAAGTAAGGGTTCTAGGTGGAGTGAGTGGATTATGAGGGTTCTTCCGCAAGTGTTACTGGTGATTGTGAATGATGACTTTCGAATCTCTCGTAGTATTCAATGCTGCTCTGCAAAACACAAATAGCAAAACTTAGATCCAACCCTAATTTCATCTAAAACCCTCACCAAGTTCAATTCATTACGGGGATTGAAGTTCCTGCACAACCAGACTATATCACTAAAGTAAACTTTTTTTTTTTTTTTTTGTACTTTGGGAAGAGAAGTGTTTTTGGGAAGATAAAATTAACATGAACTTCGTCTTGTTTTTTTCTTCTCTAAAAAACCACATTGAACCAAATTCCTCATATCTACGAGAACAAATTGTTTGACTGATCTGTTATATTTAACATGTAGTTACAATAACGAGGCGCCTGTTATGTGGCAGGACCTATACCAAAGTTACAAGCAACTCTGCGCCTATTGTACACATGTAAAGCACAACATAACAGGATCCCAATTAAACTGGTACAGGACCATGCAAGGGCTAGCATTGAAACTGTTAGATTCAACATTTGCCAAACCCTTTTCTGAACCTCAGCTCTAGATGTGGAAACCTACATTGTAGGTCAACTCAACAAGTTCAAATCACATGAATGCACAGAATGTCACCACTTGAGCGTTTCATTAGAGTCTCGAGTTCCTCATACACCAGCAATTTCTATGTACAAAAAACCTAAAACCACGCATCCAATCACACAATTTCTCACTGACATCCAAATCTCGCAAAACATAGAATCACAGATCATCCACTCCACAAGAATTTATAACCATTCAAGTAGCAATTACTGAACCAGCTACCAAATCAAATCAGACCCTCAAATTCCAACCAAATTACTGAACAACCACACACACCAAACCTGTTATACCTCAAAGCTAAACTACACTACAGAGATGATCACACAGTAACCAACACTCAAAAACCCCTCAAGTCTCCATCTTTACAATGCAATTCCCCATTACAAACAAAACCCACAATAGAAAACCAATAAAAAAACATTATTACATAAAAAAATCAGATTACACTAACACACATATAATTGAACTTGCACTCAAAACAGATCAAAATTTTTCAAAATTCAGAAAAACTAAAGAAAACCCAGAAGAGAAAACACAACAAAACCAAGCATAAACATACCTTTATTTGCAAGGGCCATCATGATCTTTTGTATAATTAAGATCCACCAGCAAGTACATCAGATCTTCCTCTATTTAGCCCACCTATACACACCAATCACAGTAATTAATTACTTGTGCATATAAATATACGGTTCTTAACACACCAATTATTTCTCTTTTAATATCAGCAACGTAAGAAATCTTATAGAGAGAAGGAGAAGAGACCTGGTGTGATTCGGAGATGTGAGAGACAGCGAAGGAGGTTGTGCTTATAAGACACTGTTTTTTTTTTTTTAAATTAGTTTTTGTTTAATATTAATTATTACTGTAATATATAATTAGATTTTTTTTATAACAAAATATATAATTGATTAATGATGTTCTATTTTTTTACTAAAAAATGATCAATTTAATTTTCTGAGCAATTAATTATCTATTAGAATGCCCCCTTAAAATTTACTATAAATTAATTCTGGTTTAGTTGATTTGTTTAAAATATTTGAATAAAAATACATTAAAACTCAATACTCAAAAACTGAAAAATTGAGATTTTATGAAAAAATTATTAGGAAAAATTATTTTATTAAAGAAAATAGAATAATAGTGTGCATGCAATGGTCTTGTTGCCTAATTACACAAATTTTCATTAGTGTTTTTTAAGTGCTGAAAAAGGGAAAGTGTTTTTCTAGGAAGTTGAGTGGGCCTAAGCAAGAGGAAAAAATGTAAAAAAATGGAGTTTTGACACGTGTCCAACTTGGGGTGGTTTAACTGTGGATTTTTTTGGGGGAAGGTTCGTATGAGTAAATTATAAATTCGTCCCTCTTGTTTTGAGAAATAAACTAATTAGTCTTTGTAGTTTGAAAAAATAATTTTTTTAATTGGTATAGATCACAAATAATTTAATCTTTTTTTATATAAAATATATATTTTTTCATCAATATATCAATATTTTTACTTTTTTTCTTAAAATAAAAAATCAAATAAATTGAAAAATAATTAATAATTAATTTTTGAAATTAAAAGGACTAATTAGTTTGTTTCTTGAAACAAAAAGAACTAATTTATAGTTTATTTACATATGTATGGCAACAACAAAAGAGAAAAAAATTAGGGATTTTCCCTTTATTTGTTTTTTTTTTTTTTTGGACTTGTAAAACGTGGAGTTTTAAATTGATGTAAGAGTTGCGCAAGTGGTATGGTCTAATTGAGAAATTGGGACTGTGATTGCTAGAAGATTTTGTTTTTGTATTTAGATGAATATTTTGTGTTGTATTTATGAGCTCCATAGAGATTTTTTTTCTTGCTTGGATGGATTGATTCCGGTCTTTCTTTTTGTTTTGCTATATTTTTTTTTCTTGTTGGAGAAATCAAGTTGAAAGCATTTAGAATTTTTTTCCTATTACAATTACTAACACAAAGTTTTTTTAGGGAAAAAATAAATGGGATACTTTTAGATCTTTATTTCCATTGTAGGATAGTTTTAATTTTATTTATTATAATATGATAGTTTGTGGTACTTGAGTTATACGAGGTATCAATGTCATTATTTTTCTTAGTTATTAACCTAAATAAAGGAGAATATATATATATATATATATATATATATATATATATATATATATATATATATAACATGAAAATAAAAATATCAAAAAAATTTAAAACAACTCTTATTTTTTAATTAAAAAAAGAAAAATAAACCTATGTGCCAGTTTGGTAACCCATGGACTGATCAAATGATTCATATATCGAACGAGTAATTTAAATGCTTGGTCAAATCATGTCTTGAATTAAAATAACAACTGCAATGAAAACAGTGTCTCAATTGAAAATAATTGGCTGATAATATTAAAATCTTTGATTCAATTACCATTTATAAATCATGTACTGTCTTGTGCAAATTTGTGATGATTAGGGATATAATTGTACGAGGATTTTTTTTATATAAATTAAAAAATTACTAGAAACCAAAAAAATGCTCGTGAGTGAGTATGAACGGAAAAAAAAATAATAATAAAAAGTGTATATAAGATACTTAAAAACTCATGATTCTCTAATATTCACCTTTAATTAAAAGTTATTTGGACTTTAAATTTTTATACAGCAACGTCATCTTGTGCCTAATGGATTAAAAAAGAAATGAAAGTGGTAAGAAATGAACCTGTGATAATTTAATCAATAAGATCCTAATATTATATTATTAAAGAATCATCTCAATTTAAAAAGTTAAGTTATTATGTGAGATTTCATAAATTGTTTCATATGACTCTTTAATATTTGCCTATAAAAATACCTAGTAATTCAAATCTATATTTTTCTCATGGTGTTCAAGTATATATTTGATGATGATGTATAGCAAAGAGGGACCGATTTAGAGGTTAACATACAGATACACACATATACATATATTGATGCAATATAACTTCGGCAATAAATTTATTTGTATTAAGTGGTTTGGGATCAAATTTCACTTGATCCCTACATTTCTTTAATATATTTCTCAAATTTCATGATATTTGATAAATAAATCCGTCTCCATTTAAAACTGATCGAAATTGGAATTAGTCTTGATATAGAAAAAGTTAATAAAAAAAGAAAAATACCACCATTATTGAAACAAATTTAGATGCATATTCATTTAACATGATAAGATAAATTCCAACAATACCAGGCTAGCCATTTGGACCCTTTTTGTGAAAAATAAAAAAATAAAGCGGTAAGTCTTCAAAGATGTATATAATTATCACAAAAAATTTAATTATTATGTAATGAAATAGTTTTAGTTTATTTAATTACTATGTAACGAGAAAAGATGACAATTCTTGTGTGTAACCCAAGGCTATATTTATTTGGGGGGAAAACAAGTTCTATAAGAAAACCAATTCATGAGGAAGCCATTTTCTAAGAACATATTTTCTGTTGTTTGGCAATTATATGAAAAAACTACTGAAAAATATATTCCAACGTTTGTTTGATATAGAAAATTAAAATACAAAAACTTATGTGATTGTTATATCAACAAGTTTTGAAATTTTTTTTAAAAGACATATTTATAATTTCATAATATAAGATACATTTAGAAAATTTTAATAAATTTTCATCAATACTAACTCTAAAATTTTAATTCAAAAAATAAAATATACTTTTTTAACAATCAAATCAAATCATCAAAATTACTTGGGACAAAATTAAGTCAATATTTATTAAACAAAGATTCTAAGTAATCCTAGCATTATTATTTTAGTAACTCAATTAAGAATATATTTTTTTAAAGAAATTGAACTGATAATTTAGTCTAAAAAATAATTTTATTAATTATTAGTTATCATTTATAGATAATTATTTATTTGTTCTCAAAAGATTAATGTTGGAATAATTTGTAACTAATTATTCATTACAATTACCAACAAAATTTTACAATTGATTAAAATTAAAAATTATTGATTTAATTACAAATGAATAGTGTTGAAAAATAATGTATTTATTGATGAATTAATTATTTTTATTTTTATTTTTTTAAAAAATTATAGTCATGTAATAATAATTTCCGATCATTTAACTATAGCTTAGATAGTGTTTGAGACAATAGTAAAAAAAACAAAGAGGTAAGTTATTGAAATATTTATTATAAAAATAATTTTAAAGTGTAAAAATGGTTTTTAAGAATATTTAATGTATCTATAAATAAAAAAATCAAATATTAGTAAAGATAGAGAAAAAATAATTAAATAATTAATAATAATTGATAACAAATAATTAAAAATTAATAAGATATATTTTAAATAAAAAGAAGATAAAGAAAAAAATTGTTAAAATATATCGAGAGAGTTAAGTAACGCGAAAGCGAGACAGTTAATGAGAAAGAAAATATTTTCTTTTTTAAAAACTGAAAAAACATTTTTTTAAAATTTCTATATCATTTTTTATTGATTAAAAATTATTTTTCATTAATTTTTTTTTCTGAACGTGAAATAAACATTGAAAAATGAAAAAAACAAATCTTAGGGACATGTTCCCCGAACAAACAGCCTAAGACTGACAAACCTTTCGAATGAAGCAATAAAAACTGGCCATGGACTGCAAAGCCCATGGATTTCATGGTCTAAGCAATCGCGCGTCGTTGATCCATGAGTCAAAAGACGTGGTTTCGAACCCAGTTAGAAAAGCCCATAACACAGCAACCCATCTCATTTTACCGTTGCAGCCCCAAAAAACAAAACCGTCTTCTCTCTCTTCTAAAACCCTAAAACGGTAAAACCCTACGCAGTCTCCGATACTGCTTTTTAGGAAAAAAAAAAAAAAAAAAGAAAAAAAAAAAGGAAAAAAGAACGAAGCCTCTCTTCCCTTTTGTTGCAACCGAGAAAAATTTTCCATTCCAATGGAGGAGAAGAAGGGTGGAAAGATGCCTGGAGAACTCAAGGAGCTGGAAGAGCTAGTGAGACACCACATAGATTCCTTTGATTACATGGTGGATAGAGGATTGGAAATCATGCTGGATAACATCAAACCTGTCAAAATTTATGATTCTCACACTGGCACCAGTCTTTCACATATCCTTTAAGTAATTTTTGTTCGTTTCTAATAGAATTTTCTGTCAGGAAAATGGGTTTTTGTTTTTGTTTGTCATTAGAAATGGATGTTTTTCTTGACTAGTATCTTACTATACTTGAGTAATCCTAGAATAAATGCACCTATAAAGGACGTTCGTTCAAGAACAAATCGTATGCGTCTACTTCCCTTTGAAGTAAGTTTTTTCCCCTCTACCATGTCTGTATATTTTGCTTAAATTTACCTGTTACTGGAGGGGTTTTTTTTTCCCTTGAAACAGTGTCGGCAGGCAAAGACTTCGTATACAGGGAAGTTTGAGGCGGATGTTTGCTTTCAATATGATGGTAGACCAGCTATCAGAGAAAAATACAATTTTGGGCAGTTTCCTATAATGTTGAAGGTTGTTGATTTCTTTGTTCTGTAAACTTGTGGTCTTCATGATTTATGTACATATTTTCTCATATGATTGAACGCAAGTTTTTGTTACTCCTTAAAGCTTTAAGTACTTTTCTTTTCCATGTTTTGGAGCTCTGTTCGATCAGGAGCACCTGGTTATATCTGTATTGCCTCGTGATGGGGGTTAAATTTGGTGTGAGATTAATAGAGAAGAGGTCATTTGGGGTTAACATTAAATAAGGAGATTAAATTTTTGAATATGGCTAACAATGGTTGTGGGCACCCATATGAGATGTAACAAAGTGTAGTGTTTGCATAATCTTGTTCAAGCTCTCATGCTTAGCTGGCCAGGATGCTATTAACCATGCAACCTTTAACACTCGGACTTTGGTTTGATACTGTTACAAGCTTGTCCCTCTTTGCAGTACAAAAATCAGGGATTTTTTTTTTTTTAATATGTGTTGCATGGATAAGGGATGAATAATTAAGATTTAATGCAGTGATCAGGAAGGGCACTATTCTGGAATTTTTATGGTTCAGAGTTCTCATAGATTCAAGTTTAACTTTTCAAAAGTTTTTCTTTTTTGGAAGACTTGTTCGTGGACAAGTGTTGGGGTGTGGATATTCTTACCAAAATGTAATTTATACTTGTTTTTGGTTTTCTTTTATTGATTTGCTGTTTGTGGTAGTTAGTGTGGTTCAGAACTCAGTCAGGAGGGAGGCTTTGTTGATTGCTATTTCAAAATAATAGAAATCTGGATTTAGGGGCCTCGGTTTGATAAGACATGGGAAAGTGGTGAAAAATGTAATAAATTTTTGGAAAAGGTGTTCACACAACGTCTAATTGGTTTGATTACCAAGTGAATATGAAAACGGGTTGTAAAGAAATATGATTTGTATCCAACAATTGGCGTCCATGTCAGAAGTTGTTCCTTGTTTCGTTGTCTATTCATTATAGGTCCATTGTCCATTAACTTTAAGGATGAATATATTTCAATGCAAACAGCTGAAGACACTATGTTTATTCGTTCTTGCTGTCATATTTTGAAAACAATTCTTTTATTGATTTAATAAAGTTTTAATTGTTGGAAATAATAGTGCACGGTATCCCTGGTCAATTAACCTTTTTTTGCAGTTGAAATCCATTAGATTAGTTTGATAATCTTCTGTATTGAAATTAGAAGCTTCACCATGCTATGCTTTGTTGCCAAGAGATGAGCATTTCAAGTTTATGTGATGTCGTCAATATGTATATTTCCTGCTTGTTAATTCTGCACAGCCGTTCTTCTCGTGTGAACTTCTTCATTCCTTGAGTACCCTTTTGTGCAATTTAACTTTTGCTTTACATGTTGCATTGGTGGTTTGCTACACGTGGATCATGGAAGATTGTTGTTCTTTCTTGAAGTTACCTTGCTGGGATCTGTAGCAATTTTTGTTTCTAGTGATATAGCATAAAGCTTGCTATTCTGTAGAATGAGCTTTAACTGCATAGAAATTTGCTTAACGTAAAAGTTTATATGCAAGAAACCTGTATGACTTGTTGATCATTATTTTTGTAAGTGATTGTTGCATCCGATGCAGTAGATTCACTGATCTTTTTGTCACTTTTGACTAGTTAAATATTCATGTCTTGAAGTTTATCCTATGCAGTCAAAGCTTTGTCACTTGCGAAGTGCTGATCCTCAAAAGCTTGTTTCCCTTAAAGAAGAGGCATCGGAAGTGGGTGGGTAAGTTGTCAGATAGGTCATGTCATGTTTTTTATTTTGATATCTTTGTTTGACACTGGCATTGGAAATCAATGTAATGTGGTTTACTCTATCTGGACAAACTTTTCCCTTTTACAAGAAAGCACACGTAAAATGTACTTGAAACCCTGGCTTTGGAGTCGGTCCTACTTCGAAACTGCATGGAAACTTCCTTAATGAAGGAAACTCGTAAAATCATAAGCACCTCCTATCTTGTAATAGGCTATTTCTTGTATCTTTTTTCACTCAAGAGTTACATGAAAGCAGGTATAAAGTTTCTTTGATATGTGTGTTTTGAACAATTTCTCAAGTATCTAGATGGAAGCAAAAAATGAATAACTGTTCTGCATTCCCATTATTGGTAGTTATAGATGATACAGATTGGTATAGAAAAGATATTTGCTATTTAGGTTCTCATGAAAAAAGTAAAGGTTGTTTAGCCTGAAGAGATTATATTAAGTTCATGTAAATTTTGATACATCAGGATTTTAATTAATGTATCAAGGATTATATTTTACAGAACAAATCCCATTCCAACCATCTGGGGTATGTCTACTGTTATAGTATGGGATCAAAAGCATAAACTATAAATAGATTGTGAAGACATAATGGACAGGCTTCTCTAAGTGTAATTATGGACACTGTGCAATTTTGGAGATGGAGAAGGTCTATGCCTAGTTAAATGCTATTTTTTGGTATTACGAACCTTGCAATGTTCTTATCCACTTACAATCACCATGCAGTTATAAATATTGTAAAAGGCTGATCCTATGTAATATTCTTTGGCATTGTGAACCATGCCACGGTCATTTTCTGCTTATTGTATGATTGTTCCACGTTTACATTTCACCGTGTTATGATGATCCGATGTCGTAAATTTCTTTAAGAACAGCTGTGTATTTTTGTCATTTTGAACCATATCATATTAACACCTGCTTTTTAATTTTAATTTTTTTGTCATATAGTTACTTCGTTTTGAATGGGCTTGAGAGAGTTTTTCGATGTCTAATTATGGCGAAGCAGAACTATGTAAGTGAGACCTTTCATTTTTTTATGTTGTGATAGCCAAGTAGGTGAACATGGGTTGTTGTTTATCTTAGGCAATTATTAACTCTCCTTGTCGTTGCCTGGTTCATGTTTTGATTTTTTAGTTAATTAAGATTAAGATTGCTTTGAGATAGAGTTATGAGGTTGACAACATCACGACTTTTTCATGCTTTCAAATGCTTACGTGGGTGCAGGAAGAAAGAAATAGCATTATTTTTTCTTTTTTATGTGTAGATGCCATATAACTGAATCAGTTTTTATTTTCCAGCCGATGAGTATGACACGAGGTTCATTTCGTGAACGAAGGGAAGGATATACAGATAAAGCAGTTGTTATAAGGTCTTTTTTTGTGACTTCATTATTCCAGTGTTGTTGTTAGTTCCTTATACTAATTGATTTTACCATGTTTTTCTGAGTAGTTGACCTTATTATTAAAGAGTTATTCAAAAGTCAAAACATTGTTTGAAATCCTTGGCACTTAATTTTTTTTATCAACTTAAGTTAAAGGTGCAGTACCTAAGTTGCTCAGTAGTTGTTACATTTTGCTCAAGTACCTGGGTTTTATCTAAGCCGGATGTTATTTTCCCCTTAGTTAAGCTTTTAGAGGGCAAAACAATCTTTTCTTCCAAGTTATTTACCATCCATCCCCTAACTATCCAACACTGCTGTCTTTCTAATAACTGAACTGACAGCCAATTGGCATTCAGCATCAACCATTTTTTTCCTTGCTTTATGAGAAGTTGCTTCATAGAGAAAACAGTTCTTATTTGTTTGTTCTTATTTCTTAACACTTATAGCACAAGAAAGAATATTGGTTGTTCAAATCATTAGGTGATGTTTGTGTCCTTTTGTGTATTTTAGTTTAAATCTTATAGGTTGAAATTATTTGGGTTTACTCAAAAGTTGGCTACACAAATTTATGAAGCACGCTCTTGTTATCAGATGCTGAAGGCTTGTAAATAATAGCAAGTCTTCTGTCAGCCCAATAACTCCTATTTGTTAGGAAGTAGAAATCACCTGGACAAGCATGTTTCAACAAATCCAACTTAAGCACCAAAAATAGATGCAGTGAGTGACCATAATTATGGGAAAATGAGTAATTTAATTTCATGTGATCAGTTCATTCCTCATTGCTCACTCAATAACTTTCCTGGGGATATTACTCTTTTCTTGACACTTGCCTGCCTCATTGTGTGGTAGTTGCTTATGCCACTAAGTGCTCGCCAGAGGCATACTTTCCCCTGGCCCCTCTATACAGACTTTTGTGAAATGAAACTAGAAATTGTTTCCCTCATTCTGCACTTGTTGAAGCTAGCTCTTTTGTCTCCTCCTCATTGAGGCTGACTGCAACAGAACAAGAGGTTATCATATCTATTTCCTGGTTTCAGTCTGCGGTAAATGTAGGAAGCAAAGGGTGGATCATGTGTAGATGTTCCAACCTAAAGCTATCTTCCAAACTATCAGCTGATCAGCCTTAAAATACCACGTAAATTTTAACTTTCAATTAGCTGTCCCAATTGCCCTTCCATGTGGTGTCCTATTTGTTGTCTGGTTGTAATCTCATTACATCTATTTACAAGTTTATTACGTTCAGTAACATTCTTGTCATATACCATGTCCACACCAAATGTCTTCCAAATCTGGAACCGTGTTCCATTTTTGTCTTTAGGAAAACCGTGTCCAGAAAAGCTTTGCACCTATTACTTTGTTGACACATTCCTCTGGTCTTCAAAATATACAGTACATAAAATAACAGTTTATAATCTGCAATTTCTTGTTGACAGAATCTAAAGTTTGTTTCTGTTATTGTTTCATCTTCTAAAATGTGTTTGCTTTGGCTATGCTATGTTATTCTGACTCGGTCAATTGTTGAATCCCATTCCAGGTGTGTAAGAGAATATGAATCTTCATTAACAGATCACTCTTCAGTAACAGTTAGACTATATTATCTTCGTAATGGAAGTGCAAGAGTTGGATTTTGGTAAGCCGCATCAATTTTTGTTTCTCTGCAAATATGATTTTTTGGTTGCAATTATGGAACCAGATTTAAATTATTTGTTTCTTTTTTGTTTTTGCAGGGTAAGAGGAAGGGAGTACTTGCTTCCTGTTGGCATTGTGTTGAAGGTATTGTGTTGCATACTGATCCTTTCAAACATATGTCATGCCTTTTGTTCATGTTGGAGCTTCACCTATGTAAAGGAAAAACTACTTCATTAGCTAATATAAGTTCCCTTTGTTTTGCTGGATTGCTTTAGTTCTGGTTATTTTTCTAGCCTGGAATTATGGTTACATGCTTTGCAGAATATTATGATTGACATTGAAATCAACTTGTTTTTCCATGCATGGAAATAGATGCTCCACCCTCTGCTATATATTTTGATATGCTCACTCTTTTTGTTTTTCTATTTCTGTGGATATATCAAATTCTTGAATTAGCTGTTTACGTCTCTCCTTTGCATTATCCAATAGAAAATTTTTTATGCAATGGGGACACTGTATATAAGCAACATCTGAATCATTATATTGGACGCAGGGAAATTTTTGGGAGATATGCCCCTTTCTCTTTTTGAAACATAAAGAGGAGGAAAAAGGAACAGAGATAGGAATTATGTTTTAGAAGCTTAGGATTTTAAGTTAGTTGCTGATATGGACCTTACTGTGTCTGAAAAATCTGAGGAGAAACAGAGGATTCAGAAACAAGATGTTTATTTATTGTGGTGTTGCAGTGAACCTCATTTCCAGCTCATGTGCTTGGTAGACTAGGTTTTCCACTTACAAAAATTTCTGTCATACTATATATTGGACGTTGTGATGCTTTTTCCATAATGTGCTTATTTTATTGCCTCAAACTCTTGTCAACAGGCCCTTGTTGAGACCACAGATCGGGAAATTTATGAGAATTTGACGTGTTACTATGATGAGAAATATGAGAAGGTAAAGGGAGCTGTTGGTTCTCAGCTTGCGGGTGAAAGGGCAAAAATTATTCTTGACGAAGTTCGGGTTGCATCTCTTTTCACTCAGGATGACTGTTTGCAGCATATTGGTACTCACAATTTCATTAATATTAGCATTGCTGTGCATTTTGTTGGGGGAACAAAAGTTGATTCCATTCTTTATGCAGGGGAGCACTTCCAACCTGTTGTTGATGAGTTGGAAAACAAAACTTCCTATACTGTAAGTTGAATTGAATTGACCTAAACTCCAATCTGAATTACTGTTTCAGAAAGAACAGAAGGAAAATATTTTGTAACAATCTCTGATATGAGTTTATGAGAATTTATATCTTGAAGTTAATGTGCTTGTTTATGGTAATTATTTTAATCATTCTATTTTCTATGCAGGTGGCCCATGCAGTTTTGAAAGATTACGTATTTGTGCATCTTCCTAATTATCATGACAAATTCAGTCTGCTAATGTTAGCTACAATATCTCTCTCTCTCTCTCTCTTGATTTAATATGCTCCCTATAAAGTTTTGCATTATTGCTACTTTTCTCTGTTTCTCAACTTAGATTTCTTTCTTTGGTTTGTTATTCTATGTCCAATTTAATTTGTATTTAACTTCATTTCTTCAGGTTTATGTTGCAGAAGCTTTACTCTTTTGTCGATCAGACTTCTGCGCCAGACAACCCAGATTCCTTGCAAAATCAGGAAATCTTACTTCCCGGGCACTTGATGACCATTTATCTCAAGGTATAGAATTTGAATTGGAATTTGTTGAAAGAAATGTTTGGCATGTACTATAGTTCTTGGTTCTATAGGACCAAAAGTTTTGTATGCATCATAGTTTTAAGTAATAGGAGCAAAAATGGAAGAGCTAAGTGAAGATGAGTTTGGCTAAGAGTGAAGAAGCAGAGAGGTAGAAAAGAAATGATTTGGGTTGGAGTGGTAGAAAAAATCAAGCATTAAACTGAAAGTATGGCCCTATTAAATTATCATGGAGAAAAAGGATCATAATGAGGCTATTTGAGTTCAGAGGGAAACCAAACATTGGCTTACATGTGTCGACTATGTAGGAGGTTCTTGGTATTTAGCTGAATCTTTAGAGGAGGCTCAAGCTTTTGACTGTGTAGAGGAGGACAAGCTGTTGACCAAGCTGATTCTGTTTGAGCTCTATGTTTTGTTGTTGATCACCTGATTGTCATATTTTGTTTAGAAATTGGAATGCCACTGTTGTTTTATTTAATGTCAATTTGTTATCTTGTTGTAAAGCTAATATTACCTAATTTGGTATTTGAAACTTGCATCCGTGACCACAAAGCACTATGTGGAAAAATAAATTGGTTTTATGTTGTTGCATATCGGATAGCAGGAATCAGGATGTTGGGGGGGGGGTATCTGTATATGAATATTTTTGACAATAGTAGTGTTTGACAATCAGCCTTTCTAATAGATAAATAAGCCTCGCAGGTTGTAGGGTATGTCATTAAATTTTGAAAATCTGTTTCTATGTTCTTATCTTGCTTTAATGAATCTTAAATCGACTGAAGTAATACCTTTCTTTTGGTTGTAGGAGAAACTAGAAGAATGGTTGCGTAAGGCAAAAACTCTTATTCAAGAGGAGATAACAAAAAACAACACTTTTAATTTTTTGGCAGGTATCTCAACTTCTTGCCTTCTACTTAGATAATGGCTATTGAGTCCCAGGACTTGATCATTCTTTTATGTGAAGTGCATATAATATTTTGTATCTTTTGGATCATTCTTTTTAGTTTTCCTCTGATAGTTCATCACCATTTACAACTCATCTGTTATTGTAATGGAAACGGCATTTCATGTACTTTATGATATATGTTTGAGACTTGTGATTATAGTGCCAGCTGTCACTTTTAGCAGGATTGCAAATTTGCGAGTAAAAGATAGAAAGTCGCCATTTTGGGTTTCTTTTTTTTTTTTTCCTTTTTGTATTAAAATTTTGGTTCTCAGAGGCAATATGTGGACCAAACTTATGGACTTGTAGCTAGTAAAATAGTAACAGTAATAAGCAAACAGATCTCATAACTGTATATTAGTTTAAATTTGCATCCACATAATGCTGAATCTATGAATTTTAAAGAATCGGATGTATCGATTTCAGTAACTGGTCCAAGTTCATGTGACATTGTGGACAACTAACTGGATAACATTGTGTTTATGTGATTGAATTTGTTTTGGGAATGATTTGGATGTACAGTATTTGGTCCAAAGATAATTTTGAGGCAATAGAAGTTCACATATCAATGTTGTTCTTTCTGTTACCTGAGAGATTGCAGTAGGAGATGTCAGGAAGGTGGTGGATAAAAATTCCTCAGTAACAATAAGTTCAGCTTTGGAGACGATGTTGAGATCTGGAAGACTGGTTACGCAAACAGGTCTTGATTTGCAGCAGGTATTGATTTACTGGTGATGATCCTATTTCTTATCATTTAAAATTTCCAAATGTGCGTTCCATAATGATTGTGCAGCTGCTAACTGGAACCCAGTATGTCACCCAGACACTCATTAGGATAGATATGAAATCATCTGACATGGTTTATTTATGGTGCTGGTGATGAGATGATTGTTTTAACTTTACTCTATTGATCTTTACTAAAGAATTTTTCTCCTCTTTTTATATTTTTCGATCAAGTTTTCAATTGGGTTATTTTGCCAATCTGCTTATTTTTCTCTCTCTGTTATTTGTGCTAAAGTTGGATTATTGTTTGTTGGTTCATGTTGTGCTTATTTAGAGGGCTGGTTACACTGTTCAAGCAGAGAGGCTCAATTATCTGCGCTTTCTTTCTTTTTTTCGTGCTGTACATCGAGGGGCATCCTTTGCTGGTGGTCGCACAACAAGTGTGCGGAAGCTGCTTCCTGAGTATGTGTTTTGCTTGCCAATTATCTAGCAACTTACATGGATTTCTTAATAAGTTCAATATTTACTTATCTGTTTGTTTTTTTCGGTCTACAGATCATGGGGTTTTCTTTGCCCAGTCCACACACCTGATGGAGAGCCATGTGGGTTGCTGAACCACATGACTTGTTCTTGTCGTAAGTCAACGTTCTATCCATGCTTTATTTTTAATGGATTTGTTTACTTTTTATCAATGGATAAATAAAATGAGATTCAAATGGTATCATTTTCAGAATTCCAGTTAAGATTTTCTTCACTCAGGGAAATTTTTTTTTTACTGAAGCTAGTGACAGCAAAGGTTATTTCAATTAGGGGGCTCAACAGTTGCTGCATCTGAGTTGCCTGAATTCCTTCGTCTATAATTATCGTGATGTGATGATTATCGGCTTTTCTGGCTATTAAAACATTTTTATTGCTTGAAAGAACATGGGAATCTGACCAATTTGTGTCTATCATACTGTGCACTTAAGGTCATTTTAGTGGGAGAATATTTTTTTTATTTTGCTGCTTAAGAACATCTGCCATAACTAATTCAAGATGTGTTCTTTTATGAGCATATTTGTCGGATATTGATCTAATTTTCTTTCCTTGTGTATGTTTGCCAGGTGTTACATCCTACTTTGATTCACAAGGAGCTGTTAAAGATTTTTTTGATATAAGAAAATCCATTCTTGGTGTTTTGACCAGTCTTGGAATGATTTCTTCATTGCCAAAGCTTGTTCAAGCTGGCCCTCCTAAAGTTCTTTCTGTTCTTTTGGATGGTCGTGTCGTTGGTTCTGTGCCTTCCAGTGAAATTGAGAAAGTTGTTGCTCATTTGCGAAGATTAAAAGTGTCAGCTGCTTCAGTGGTTCGTTTTACTGATTTTTTCTACTGGTTTTTGCCAAAGATTTCTTCCTTTACTATCATTTACAAAAAAAATATATTGCAGATTCCTGATGATCTGGAAGTTGGACATGTTCCTTTGAGCATTGGTGGAGCATATCCAGGTTTATACATATTCACACATCCTTCGAGATTTATTCGCCCAGTTAGAAATATTTCTATCCCTCGTAAGGAAGATCAAGATATTGAACTTATTGGACCATTTGAACAGGTGGGTACAGAATTCATTTTTCTGTCAGATTAATCACTTCCGTAGACAAACTTTCGGATTGTTGCAGTGATGAAATTGTTCTTTTAGTAGCAGTTAGAAGTAGTAGCTGACTTGTTTGGATGTCATGTTAGGTTTTTATGGAAATAAAATGTCCAGATGGTGGAAATGGTGGAAGAAGTGACGCCTTTCCTGCAACTCATGAAGAAATTCACCCAACAAATATGCTCAGTTTGGTTGCTAATCTAACACCTTGGTCAGATCATAATCAAAGTCCCCGAAATATGTACCAGTGTCAGGTTTCTGCTTGCCTTTTCTTTATATTAGTCCTGTACATGTAGTTTAACAATGTTCTCTTACCTTCCAATCTACTTCATCTTTGACATCTCAGTTCTTTCAATGCTTATTATAGATGGCTAAACAAACAATGGCTTTCTCTTTACAATCTCTCCGCTTCCGTGCTGATCAGAAGATGTACCATCTTCAGGTATCACGTTCTTTTTATTTCTCTTTCCTTATTTATCAAAGACTTCATTGGGGGAAGCTAGTTTGATTACGTTTTTTCTTCATGATAAAAGGAAGAAAATTGATATTAAGTGAGGCGAAATATAAAATGACAATAAAGGAAATAAGTTTTCTTCCAAAATAAAAAAGCAAAAATAGAATAGCTTCCAATATTGCTTATAATATTGACTAACTCCTCTCTTGTATAAGAAGCTCAACAAATTAACATATTCCATAACAGCAACCTGAATTCAAGTTATATTGAAAATTTTAAATTCCTCCTCAAATATTATTGCAATATATTGCACCACTGTTGACTTTTTGCCTCGTTCCACCTCCCAAATCCACCAGAGTGCATCGGCAGCAAGTCCTGCACCTGTATTAGGGATAGCCTTTGAACTACATATTGCAGAATGTCTATTCAATATGCTAAAATCTGCAAAAGATTGTTAGAAAAAGTACTCATATGTCTGTATTTCTGGAAAAGCTTACGATCTTGTCATTATTGAGAATCAAATTGATCATAAGTTGGGTGGTGGTCTAGGGTTATAAGTTTGATCTAAAATAAATTTCTTATAGGACAACATATGGGTGGAATGTACATCCACATATATTTATTCATAAAATAATACGTTCATATATATTGTTTCTATGTCTATATACCAAATGGATACAAACAATCTCCTGTCTTTTGGCTGAGTGCTGGCAGGCATTTGTTACATTCTTGTGCTAGGAAAGCTTGTCATTGTAAATGAAATAATGGTTCCATCAGGCACTAAAAGTTGAATTTCCTATCACGTATGTTTGTTCTTCTTACTTTCTTATGGCATTGTAACGGAAATACTTTTGGCATACGCAGACTCCTCAAACTCCCATTGTACGTACAGGAGCATACACGAAATATAGTGTTGATGAGCATCCAACAGGGACAAATGCAATTGTTGCAGTGCTTGCATATACAGGGTAGAATATTAGACAAGTACAATTAATTACTCTAGCATTTGGAAATCCCAATTGCATTTTTTTGTCTTTGCCACTTTTAGTCCAAATGCTCTATCTTATGCAGATATGATATGGAGGATGCCATGATTCTGAACAAGTCCTCTGTAGATCGTGGCATGTTTCATGGACAGATATACCAGGTTTGATATCACGATGAATATAAGTCATCACCCTTTTATGCTTAAAGTTTATATGTATTTCTTGCTACTTAACCCACTTCTTGAATTTGAAGTTATTGTCTTTTTAGGTGATATTTTTATGTTAATCTGTGTTTTTCTCTTGTTCGACCACCAACACCATCATTCTGCATGGTGCTGAGTGCCACAGGACCTCATTTTAATAATGGCAATATACTTTAGGCTGATTACAATATGATGCTTTCCATTAACTTATCCTAGAAGGGACAGTTCTATCCCAAGCATGCAGGATGTCATATTAGACAGCTTTATGATGAACTAGGGGCATGTGCTTTGCCTCGCCACTGCTACTGAAAAGATTTCTTAGTGTATTTTTTATTTGATGTAATTCTTTAAATGATCTTTTGATGCAGGACAGCTTAGGGGGCTGTTCTGGATCTGAGTTTGGAGCCTGTTTAGGGGTGTTTACTGTTGTATTGAAGTAGGCTTCTGCTGGAATATGAGGAAATATGTGGGAAGATTTCTATGAGTCACACCTAAGAGGGGGGATTAAGTCGCACAATCAAAGCAACTTGCTGGAAATTATTTGATATTATTGCATTCTAAAATTTAAATAAAACACATAAATCTTATGTCTTTTGTCATCCGCATCACCTTTCCCCCTTGTTTGGTAATTAGTTGATAAATAAGACTTGATGAACTTGCTATGATATGTTTCATATGTATGTTTTTGTTAGTCCAATATATTAGTTTTATATAAACTATCAAAAGTTAATAAATAGAAATTGTCGTTATGATGGAACAATTAGTGCTGTAGTGGCATCTTATTTAGCAAGGAGAAAAATTTGGAGATTGCCATTTTCCCTCAATACCAAACTGTCAAACTGATTCTTGATATGTTTAATCGATAACAATACTGGTACTTCTAATTCATGTGAATTTAACCTGAGGCTTGCTTACTAGGCTGATCGAACTTGGCTTGGAAAAGTTGATGCGTTGATTAAGCTAGGCTGGAGCTTGAGCTGTTTTTAGCATCTCTGATCAACCTTGGCACATTCCCTATGTATCTATAAATTTTTTGCTTGGATCAGTTGGCTGGAGCTTGATGGTTAATACTGAACTAATAGGCTGGAAATATTTCATAATTTCAAGTCAACTTTTTATTTTTGTGCCTGACCGGGTACAAAGATCAATAGGCTTTTGGCATATCAACACATGTTGAAATAAAATCTAAAAAGCAACATAATTGAATAAGTCGACCAACGTAAAAATAATATACTAATCAGACAAACAGCTTTGAGTCACTCTTACTAATCTTTACCTTCTGAAGATAGGGATGCAGCTTTCTTTCCACTAAAACAACCATGTTCCAGGAAGAAAAAAACATTGAATTTCAATGTGAAGTCTGTATTTTCCCTATTTTACGAACCAGCTCAATCGATCTGCAAATCTAGCCACGTTTGAGTCAAGTTTGATCTGTTTTGAGTGTTTTACACCTGTGGTCATGATGCATTTTCATATGAAAGTACAGCATTTGATAGAGAAAAGCATTTGTCCGTGTATGTCTCACATGCATACGCAAGAATGTTAAACACATTTTCAATGTGAATGTCATGAGAATAGTTATTTTTCCTTTCATGTTATAAATTTCAATGAATTGTCAATGTTAATGCTTATCTTGGCAATATTCTATCTCGTAACTTGTGTTCGCCATATTTTTTATTCTCTTGGCAGACGGAAACTATTGACTTATCTGATGAGGGCAGCAGGTCAGATCGATCCCACAGAAGGTTTAGGAGGAGTAACACTGATAGGTCATCGCATGCCTTTATTGATTCAGATGGACTTCCATATGTCGGTCAGGTTGGCCTCTTATATTCTAACAACACCCCTCTCCCCTTGTATGTGTCTCTCTTTTAATTGTTGTCTTTGCTATATTTTATATTGACTTCTCCTTGCTTATTGGCATTCAGATGATACATCCAAATGAGCCATACTGCAGCATTTATAATGACATAACGAATACATCAAAACCCAAGTACCGAAAAGGTTCAGAACCTGTTTTTGTTGATTATGTTGCTGTTGATACGAAAAGCAAAAAGCATCTTCAGAAGGTATGTGTATATTTTTTCATCTATGCCATATTTTCATTGATATACATCTAGATACAACTATATTGATTCCTATAAATGGTAGAAACTCCATAGATGTTTGGTTCATCGTTTTGCTTGTCAGATGCATAACTAAAATAGATAATACTATTATCTGATAATTACTATTTTTATGGATGCCAAGTATTATCTGATAATTACTATTTTTATGCATGCCAACAGAAACTATATAACAATTAAGCATTTTAAGCTGTCAGTATAATGGATAGTGCTTTTGGGAGTTAAGTTCTAGCAATGAGAAATTGGGAATTGAAAGCTTTGGATACGTGAGGCGGGCTTTTTGCTATTTGTGGTGAATCATGGCAGTCCAGTGTAAAGTGGAGGGCTGGTTGATTTATTTTGCAGGTTTTGGGAGGTAGAAGGATTATAAGATATTGTGGAGATGTTCTGTGTTTCCTAATTGCTTTGAGCATTTGGGTTGGATGGAAATTCAAGAAGTCTTCAAGATCATTTTAATGGGAGGAGAATAGAATGTTTATCTCTGCTATAGTGCAGTAGAGTCTGAAGGCTTTTAGACGAGTGAAAGTAGAAGGCTATAATTGAGGAAAGGTGGAGAATGACATATTATCCTCAAATTCAGAAGGCAAACTAGAGAAGTGTTACTCTTCCATGTCTTTGTATACATCCTAAAGAGACACTCCTAAAAGAATTAAAGATACTAAGAAGGGGGAGGAAAGAGTCTTGTCCTGAAAGATTTCAGAGTTGTGCTCATCTATATAGTATTATCGCCTTAACATTTTTAGAATATCCAAACCAACTATCCTGACATAAGATTATGGCTTGGAAAATTGAGAATTTTAGGTTTAGATAAAGAAGGTTTTAGGCTTCTTAAGTTGTACTGGTGTCGAGTGTATGGATGTTTGATGGAACAGTTGCTGGGCTTCTATGCAGATAGTTTTGCGTTTTTATTTCCTTTGTTTGTAGTTTGTAGGAGGAGGTTGTCTTATTCTTCTCTTAGTAAATTTTTCTCCTACTTAATGAAGTTTTCGTTTTTCTGATTGGAAAAAAAAAAAAATAGCAGAAAAAGTGAAAAAGCTACATCAAATACAAGGAAAGCTTAACTGAGGGTAATTGAATTCTGAGTTCAGCTCATTTTTGAATTTGTTTGGACAGATTTCTTTATATACAACAGGAGGGAAAATGAGGTGCATGCCGTTGTCAAGTGTTTTTATTATCTGTTTGTGGATTGTCACACCATCATCCAGTTATGTGTTGGAAGGAATTCTTTCAGTTAGCTTAAGGCATGCTGGTGAGATATTAGTAGTGGCCTTAACGAACAATACGGTGGTATAAGTTCAATCCTAGGTCATGGGATCATTGCCTACTGACTACCGAGCGTGGATGGCTTAGTCTGTTTTGACTTTACTTGGTGGTCAATAGTGAGTATTTTTTAGGCATGTTTCCAAATTGCTGTATGAACAGCAGTTTACCATTTTCCATTTGAGAAATGTTTCAAAGAACCGGGGTCCTTGGTTGCAAGAAATGTATATTATAGTGAATACAATGTTTTTCAGAAACTATTGTTTGTTTTGATATATGATGTACTCTTTGTTTGCCTAAACTACAACACTGCCTCTCAATTCAGTGTCAAATCAATTGTGTTTGATCCCATTTGATTCAACCTAGTACTATATGAGGGAAGCATAATCGATCCCCCTTCTTATAATATAATACACTGAATTATTTCTTCCCCTTCAAGTTAAGCTTCGAAGAGGTCAGGGGCTTTAACTGTAATTGACTCAACTGGTATGGGGAGAGGGATGGGAGATTTCTGCAGCATAACAAAATTGCAAAGTACATACAATAGTGCCACCAAAGTAAATAACAATTACTTTTTAAATGCTAGCTGGTGTCAAATTCTGCCAATCACCTCTCAGCAGCGCATATGTTTCTCTAAGGCCTTGGAAATCTCTGCGAATACACACCTATACTAGCTGAAAAGTTCAAGATTCAACTATACACTTTAAATTAAAATAGATAGCGCTTTTATTCTGCCTGTAGCTATGTATGTTCATGGCTTATATTTTTTTCCTCTGCTTGAGCAGGTGAATATTCGTTTTCGTCATCCTAGAAACCCTATCATTGGTGACAAGTTTAGCAGTAGACATGGGCAGAAGGGTGTTTGCTCCCAGTTATGGCCAGATATTGATATGCCATTTTCCGGAGTTACCGGGATGCGTCCTGATCTGATTATCAATCCCCATGCTTTTCCTTCAAGAATGACAATAGCAATGCTTTTGGAATCCCTTGCTGCCAAGGTAATATAATACTGAAACCTTTACTCAAAATGTTGCAAATTTTCAGTCTATGGAAAACACAAGTTTCATAATGCTCAAAAGTGAAGCTATCCTATGATTCAAAGACTTTCTTCTGCTGATTATTTTTTGGATATGGTAAGGATACAGTGAGAATATGCTTTCTATAATAATGGTTTCTGTTGGTATCAAGGACAAACCTTTGCCGTTACTTTTTCCCTTTTGATAAAACAGAAGAAATTTTTTTGCGTAGGATGGGACACAGAAATGTATGCTTGATTTCGCCTTTGTGTGAGTAGGGTGATGCTATATTAGACATGGAAGTTTGTGTGACACTTGTGCATTAGCAAAATATACTAGCATATGGTGGTTGGCAACTGTTGGAAAAAGAAAAAATACAAATGATTGATGGCTGATTGAATATTTCTGGTTCCAGGGAGGTAGCTTAAACGGAAACTTTGTAGATGCTACACCATTTTCTAGTTCTGTGAGGGTAGCTAATGCAGGGGAGGCCAAAACAGAATCTGAATCACTTGTTGATGAACTTGGGAAAATGCTAAAATCTAAGGGCTTTAATCATCACGGCGTGGAGGTGTTGTACAGTGGGGTTTATGGAACAGAACTCACATGTGAAATTTTTATTGGGCCCGTTTATTATCAGCGCCTTCGTCACATGGTTTCAGACAAATTTCAGGTGAGATCTTATTTCAGATTTGCTTCTTAAATGGTTGTGTAGATATGAATACTTAACTACTTGGTTTCCTATGAATTAATTTTCTTGCTTGATATTTATCATGAATGATTTGGCACTTGTATTTCTTTGTAGCACTATTTATTTGGCTTCCACTGACCAACTTACAAGCTAAAAACGTTTGGAATCATGCATTCAGATAGCTATCTTAACTACCTGCTTTTATATATTCAAACTATCTCCGTTTTAATGTCAGGTTTGTTTTTCATGGTCTTTTTCCCCCCATTCATTTCCTTTGTGTTCTGCCAATGGATCTATTCAGAACTTGATTCTGACTTGAAACAGATCCTGATTATATTGAATATGATAGTGAAGTTGATTACAAGTTTCTGTAACCGTTTATGCTTTCCTTGTGGAAGCTGTATTTTGCCTAGTTTTATGCTTTTGTTTTGGCTTAATTGGTTTGTAAATTATGATGTTTTTAAATCTGTTCAAATCTCATGGTTTTCTTACTGTTATGCAGGTCCGGTCAACTGGACCAGTCGACCAGATTACTAGACAGCCTATTAAAGGAAGAAAGCATGGTGGAGGTATTCGATTTGGAGAAATGGAACGAGATTCAATGCTTGCCCATGGAGCTGCATACTTGTTGCATGATAGGCTCCATACTTGTTCTGATTATCACATTGCGGATGTATGTTCTCTTTGTGGAAGCATTCTCACGACACATATCCAACCACAAAGGCGAATAGTGCGTGATATTGGTGGATTACCTCCTGTGAAGGGTCCCAAAAAAGTGGTTTGCCATGCATGCCAAACCAGCAAAGGGATGGAAACTGTTGCAATGCCTTATGTCTTCAGATTTTTAGCTGCCGAATTAGCAGCTATGAACATAAAAATGACCCTCCAGTTAAACGATGGAGCATGACAGCTTTTGCAGTTTGAACAGAGCATTTATCCTCAGAAGCAAGCGTTGGCACAATTTTGGCTTTTTGACCCTCGGAGGTCCATGCTGTTTATAGAAACCAGGGACATGGCTCTGCGCAATTCATGTTGGATGAGGAATTTGAACAGCTGCAGTGTCTTGAATTGGAAGAAGGGTATGAATGTCGTTCTTGTACATGCATTCATACTTTGCCTTTCTAATTTATTTCCTTTTCTTTACTAGTATATTTACTCACGGTGATATCATTATCAATTCTGTTGTAATTGTTTGTAATTTAAATCTCATATAAGTATTAAACAATTGTTTCCTTAACCATAATCAGCTGATTATTTTCTTCATTTCCCCTTCTTTTACCTCAAATTATGATCTTCTATAGCAATCAATAGAGGGACTGTAGTTGCTGAAACAACCATGGCGGTTGAAGAAATGATAAATATTTGACGTTTAGTGTTCATTAATTTACGATGTTCTATTACACTATCTTGTAACATTTTGTAAATGGGTAGTATGTTTTCGAATGTGTGTGTATCTTTCCAATGCCATTGTCCTAAGATCTAGATCTAAGGCATTATAAAGTCAATTATTGGTTCATGAATTCGGATAAAAAAATTTGATTAGTCGATTACATCGGATTTTGATTGAATTTGGGTCAAGATCTGATTTATATAGTCCTCTATGTATAGTCCTAGTATAAGTGCTTCCATCAAGCTGTTGCTGTTTTCGTCTAGACGATGCTCTCTTATGGCTAGCAAGTTCAAATCGATGGTCTCTATTTTTTTTTTTATTATTAAATGGTTGCTGACTTGTTGCTTTGGATCCGTTTTGTCTCTAAATATGAAAGGACCAACCTAGTATTTGTTTTGTGTTTTCTTTTCCTTCTACTGTCCTAATCCTAGGCTTCTTCATGCTTGGATTCTTTGCATTTTCCTTGATCGTTCTTTTTCAAAGGTGTTAATTATCTATTTTGACTAGTAAATTATAAATTAGTCCTTGTTTCAAGAAACAAATTAATTAGTCCTTGTTTTAAAAATTAATCATGTTTTAATTTTGTCAATAACTTAGTTTTTTCCTTAGTTTTTTGGTAGATTAGTGATTTTTTCTTCAAATTACCTTCTTTTTTTATGCTTTATTTTTTTTCTTTCACCCACTATCTCTCTTTTCAACCAAAAAAATGAAGAAGAAGAAGAAGAAGAAGAAGAAAAAGAAGAAGCAATTTGGAAATAAAAATTACTAGATGAAAGGATTAAATTATGGACGGAATTAAAATATAAGGGACTAAATGCTTAGTTTTTGAAAGAAATAGGACTAATTAATTTTTTTTCTAAATGAGGATAATTTATAAATTAATCCTATTATGACGTATCAAAAAAAAAAAAAAAAACGTTCGTATAAGAATTATTTTTATAAATTTTATTTTTTTGTTTTATATATATACACACACCCACACATAGCTATTAATAATGTGCACTTGTGATCTTATTAATCTCACAATTAATTCATCCAAATTGTGTAATCTATCGTAGGCAGATATTCCCAATGAAAATAGCGATATGATCAACTATAATTAACTTAGATCAGGATTTTCCATCTACTAGTTAGAGAAGAGGAGAAACAATAGAAATGAGAAATATAAGCCCTGAATAATGTCAAAAAAATATACTAAATTGAAAAAAATAATAATCAAGATTCCATACAGCATCCTAATCTGCTCTTAACTCAGTAATATTTATTATAATTCGTCAATAACAGAAGAGAATAGCAAGGGCTTATGACTGTAAATAAACAATTTTTTTAATTGGACCTTAAGGGTATCTTTGACTTGGAATCAATTCACGTGGCATATAGCAAAACAAATATAGAATTATTTAGCATTTAAAAATTCTAAAAAGAAAAAAACCCAATAAAGTTGTAGAAAAAACTCATAAAACTCAAATTTTATTCATCAATTTACAAATCGCCAAAAAGCTATTACAATTCTTTAAATAAGAAAACTAAAAATTCTAATAACATCAAATAAAATAAAATAAAATTCTAGAACACTATTTCCTAAACCTAAAAACACCCGTCTAATTTAATAAAAGGTAACAAAGTCTAAAAAAAAAATAAAAAAATATATATATAAAAAAAAACACAAAACGTACTCCCTCGTCAAGTTTGTGTCAATAGAAACTAGGTTTTTTTTTTTTTTTCTTTTTCTTCGGGACGATCTTATGAGTGCATTTGTTATGTCCATCTGATACTTTTAAAATAATTTAAAAACTTTTTGAACAATGATCCTAAAATTTAAATCTAAAAAATTAAGAAAAAGAAAAAAAATTCTTAATTATGAGGCAACTTGAAGAGGTTATTTTATGCAAAATATTGCCTCTGTATTACGGATGACAATCTGATCTATTTTGACGGAGCCTTTTCCTATTTGAAGTGCGGTTGGTAAGAAAAATATCACTCGAAACAGAACACAAGATAGAGAGGGATCATATTCTATGAGACGGGATGAGATAGGAATGGCTTCGTCTTTTTATCTCTAAGAATGACAATTTGAAGGGATTCCATCCCTTTTCGTTTGGAGCAAGGATGATACATGAAATCTCACCCCGAATGAAACGCAGGACGGAGGTGGCCATTCCCGCCCTTGCCCCGCCATCCCTGCTCCGGATGTAGTCATTTACTCATGCTACTGTTTTATGGCTGATAACGGGGCAGGCCTAACAATCTCAAGCTCGGCCCATTGGAGCCCAGATATTGTGAAATTTGGCCCAATTAATACGATAAAATGTGCCCTTCCTACTTCCGAATATGGCTACCTCAATATCTTCTTTCTAGCTTCTTCCTCTGCAGTCCACTTATGTTGTTCTCTATAAACCCTCGTCATCGTCTGCTTCTGCACTGCCATCATCATCGTCGTATACTCCTTAACAGCTTATGAAATCCAAGTGGATTTCCCTTACAATCTACTCTTTCAGTTTCACAAAAGATCGAGATCAGATTTTAAAGGAACAAATTGATAGAGCAGATTGTAAGGGAAGCCCACATGGATTTCGACCTTTTTTCTCCCTCATCACGAATGCGAATGGATTTTTGGGTTAGCTTCTGCCTTTAGCTCATCGTATCAAAATCCCGTATTTTCTAAAAGACGGTAAGATTCTCTCTATTATTGAGAATTTTCGCAGCTATCTAGCGTTTTCCATGGTCATTATTGCATGAATTTTATTCATTCAATGGTTTTAAGAAATTTGGAGTTAATCCAAGGCTCCTTTATTTATAAATGCTCGACGTGTTGGTTCAAATGAGTGAATCAAGTTGGAGAAGAAAATCAAGGTGATGAAAAGTGTGTGGGGGTGGAGTGGAGAGGAGATTATGGAAGCTTTTAAGGAATGCCCACTTCCATTGGCATATTTGGAGAATACCATAATTGTCAATCCCAAGGGTTTTTTTTTTTTTTTTTCCAACTGATAAACGGCTTTGTCCTAGGTATGTTGTTTTGTGGGTTTTGGCTTCCAAGAAGCTGATTGAGGGGGACAGGAGGATTGGGTGGCTGCTAACAATGAGCAATAAGAAAATTTTGGAGAACTATATTAATTAATATGCAGCAGAAGTATCAGGTTTATTGCAGGCAAAAAGATAGACACTTGATGGCCAGGATGTAAGAGGTTTCTGTATGCTCATTCCCATTTATGTTTTTAAATATGTTGTTCAATTTCTTTGAGAGTTTGTGCTTCCTTTTATCCCCGGAATTTCTTTTGGTCTTTTTGCTCATTTATTAAACTTACTTCAAACGATGTGGGAGCTTAAAAGTTGCAGCGTGAACTTTGTTTCTAGGATTGAAAAGCTTTGCAGCTCAGGTCTTAAATCTTTAGTATTTCATTCTCAGATGGGTGCATTTGAATATATGTAACTCATGGACCATCAAGTTGTATGCAATTGAGAGGAAGAAAACTAAGATTTACTTTCAGATTGGCTCATGATGTCTATGAACATGCCATTGCCGTAATACAATATTCAGTTGGTTCATCTTTCCTCCCAAACCAATATATTACAAGCCAATGAATACTGAAGGAGTACTAATATCATCACATGTCTCCTTGACGAGAAGAACATCGAAAAGATGAAATCTGCAATCCAATTCTTGAAATCTCACCACTTCAATGACTCCCACATCATGAAATTGATGGAAAAGCAACTCCAACTGCTCCATGACAGAGTAGCAGACAATCTAAAGCCTAAAATTGAGTTCCTCGTTGCAAATGGCTTTGGAGGTCAGCATCTGCCTTAGCTTATTGTATCAAACCCGACAATTTTGGAAAAGTCATTTCATTCTCATATTAAACCACGTTTTGAGTTATTGAAGTCGGCTCTTGGTAGTGATGAGAAAATTGTTGCAGCTGTTAAGCGTTCTTCATGGTTGTTGTTTGATTTTAGGAGTGCTATGATTTTTTTGATAAAAGAGGGTGTGCCTGTTGATAGGGTTGCAAAACTGATTGTGTGGCAACCAAGAGTTATACAGCAAAAGCATGATAGGATGGTTTATTCTGCGAATTCTCTTAAAACAATTTTGGCCTTAAACCCAAGGCTAATATGTTTGTATATGCTATGATACAAATGAGTGAATCAAATTGGAAGAAAGTTGAAGCGATGAAGAGCCTTGGATGGATTGAAGAGGAGATTGTGGGGGCTTTTAAGCGATACCCACAAATACTGGGATTCTCGGAGAAGAGAATTAGCAGTGCGATGGATATCCTTATGAATGCTATGGAACATATAACTGCACATCCCCATCTTCTTTGCATTTCACTTGATAAAAGGATTCGTCCGAGATGCAATGTTGTAAAGGTTTTGATGTTGAAGAGGCTGATTAATGGTGAACAGAACATTGAACGTTTTCTGGATATGAGTGAGGAGAAATTCGAAGAGAAATATATTGCTGAGTTTGTGCACAAGGTCCCGGGTTTATTGGCGATATATGGTGGTAAAGGCAAGGAAGA